GGTAAACTTTATAACCCTCCCCTCCGCATCATTCAGGACAGTTCAAGTGTTGGAGGTTTCTGTACCATTATCAATCTGACGATGCCTGTAAACTGGCTTCTCTAGTGCTAAGTTCCTAAGTTGAGAGCATAATATTTCTCTATTTATTCATGCATCGACTGAAGCGAGACTTTTGTATACATGAGGGGTTTGTGGTTCACCTTGCATTGCCTTGGTGAGTTGCATTTCCTTACAGCTCTATTAATTTTTTCATTCTTTAATCTCGCTGCCTTACATGCTATTCTGAAACATCATTTATATTCCCATCACCTTCGATCTACTTTAATCCATTATAATTTTGTCACATTTGTTAGCACATTCTTTCCCGTTCATCTACCGTTAACTCATTTGTTTTGGATGCCGTCTTCGTTGTTCTCCCTCTGTAATCAAAACTCCTACAGCTCAGGGCTGTGACGACATTCCTGTACTACTATCACGTCGTATTTCGCCTTGTGTCTACTGATCGACTTTAAGGCCTGACTTGTTGTGTGTTACCCCTGGCAAACTGTGACAGGCGCTCTGAGGATTAACCAAAGATATTTCAGTGAAGCAGATTTCTCCTTCTATGAATCATTCTCAAGGGCTTTGTAGTCGTAGTTATAATCGCAAAATATGTGTACGTCGATGGTCAGTGAGTAGTTGCAAGGTCAACAAAAACTGTCAATAAAGTCAGAAAACGATTACAGCCAAAAATCATCAAAAGTTGTTTGAAGGATTAGAATAAAAACAGAACGAGGTGAAATTTCTCAGAGAAACCATAACTAGAGCAAAATTAGAGATTAGGTACACCACTTCCCACCCCAAAAATCAGGCCTGAACAGATAAATTCCCAAGGCTTCTGCTGTGTTTACGCACCGAGCTTGCACTCCTTTCAGGATGCTTCACTTATCTTTATAAATGACTTTGGTGGAAGATTTTGCAGAAGCAGAGAAGCTAAAGTTAGCAAGGTGCTCAAAAATTGAGCCGTATGTCGCTTTGCATTCGCCTCTTCAGAACCATACACGATAGCGTCTGGAAAATGGTCTGGCTAGCAGGTGCCCTATACGATCTATATTATAGGCTCTACAAGGGTAGATCAGCTGGTAAGCATACATGGAGGTGGTTCAGAACAGAGGTGTTTCGCTTACACACCATGGAATCGGTTTTCAACAGTAGAAAGCAATCCAGAGTTTATAAGCACCCAACCCATAGTTGTTACAAAAGACGGATCAGAGGGATATGGCTTTGGCGTGTCATAACGTTTACAATGCAGGTTTCATTCAAACTACAAGCTTTTCAAGAGAAGTAGTTGCTTGGAAACGTTTGGATGTCACAAAATTAAAAGGTGACGATTTTATACGTAGAGTAGTTTTCGAATGATAATTTGCGCAGGAGAAATTTTTAAAGTTCATTTGAAAGTTGAATAGTTCAATTGAACAACTCTTTCTACCTAGAAGAAGTGAACTGATGGTTGTGGCCGTAGTAATCATACCATTATAAGTGTAGGGATTGGCTACCGTGAAATAATCTCGTTACCGAATTCATCGATTTGATATGACACAGTGAAACGTTATCACTTGCCGAATGGCGGTTTGAGAAAGATTTATTGCGTATAGTAAGATGCAAGCAGTTGGGCGACCTTCGATATACGGTTTCCAGCTTTTTTTTCACACGTCTCTCCATAGCTTCATTGCCAATGGGAGTCCTCATATATACGGTATGAGTGTCGTGTTATTCTGACTGCACTTAGTAGCTACGGTCTATATACATATGTAGACCTTTGGGGGCTTAGCTCTGTTCCATTATATTGTATGCAGTGCAGTAGCCGAGTGTTTTTGTACTTAGCTGAGCTAATAAGAGTCTATCAAGGTAAATTTGGCTAAGTTTACATGTTCTGCTCGCCCGACCAACCCGAGCAGATAGTTTGATCTAGTTACGTGATTTCACAGGCATTTCGTGGCATTTGGAGATTCGTTTGTTTTGTATAATGCTGTCCGCAAGATCTAAGTGCGGATAAATTTTTTCTTAAAGTGGGTGCGTAAGTTTTAGCGCTAACTTGTTTCTGACATTCATTAGAACCCCATGTACGTATTTTGATGTTCTGTTTGCATGGTGGCACTATTTACTCTGTATCATACCTGTTCTCTGTGCCACAGTTGCCATTCACACCACTACCAACTCTTTTCTTACGTGTTCTAATGAATACCTGAGTATGTCCAAGGACACAATCACTTCACAGTAACCTTTCTTATCTGTTTGATTTCCATATTTAGGCCTTTTGATTGAGTGATCAGGTTTAAAGCTGCACTGTTTAAAGATCCTGAAAAACCACTACACATGAACTTAAGTAGGCTACCTAGAATAATTGGACTCCAAGCGTCTCCCATTGAAAGAAGGTCGACACAAAAAACGATTCTCCTCTGCGACTTGTGAGAACAGTTTTCACTCTTTAAAAGGCCCTTCTGAAACGGATGGATATGTATGGAAACGAAGTGAATGAAGGCCTATACAGCACAAAGCCAAATGAAATGCCCTCCAGCCTCATTGGCCTTTGGCCATGGTATATCACATCGTCCATAGTTCATATTCTGAAGAACGCCCATTGACTACAAGAAACTGGATTGTTTGTGCGTAAGGATTTGGCTCTTGCTGGCTGAACCAAGGAACGAGAGGCAGAAGAACTAAGACTCAGATTAACAGAAAGTAGTAGGTTTTCTTGCGGTAAAGTTTCGGCAACAAGTGGTGCCAAAGCCTCTATAGATAGGATGGAAACTCATTTAAGTACCTTCATAGTCTTGTACACAAAGCACTATCTCTTTTAAGCACGCGAACTGAACATAGTAATGTAATAGGCATAGAAAGTTCCAACATCACTGGTATCTAAGAAACTTGGTTCTCTTCTGGGATCGGTGATTTTGAAATATATTTACGTTCCTTTTAGAAGTGGTAAGTTAGGATGCAAAGGTCGTGGTGTCATCTTTTACATTAAGAATACCTAAATTGTAAAAATTGTAGGAACGCTCGCACATAAAATTAGGACATGTGAAATGCTGCGCTGTCGGCTACAGCGCAAGCGACAGGATGTTAACCTAATGGTAGTTTATCGAAGTATGTCTCGGAATAGCTTATCCATGAATGTGTGTGGAGCTCCGTCCACTGGATAGCATTTACAACACCTCAGTCAGACTATGGTAATTTCTGAAATGTATCTTTTCACCACTGAAACATTATTGGGGTACTGTACTAAGCCAGTTTTCCAAAATATACTGGCTCTGAAGAGTTTTGTCGAAATCTTATATATGAAAGATATCGCGTCTGTTCGGGATGGTTTGCTTCTTGCAGAGATATATGGTAAGCACCTGAAGGACTGAGAGAAAGATTATTCTTGGGCACAATGTGTCATGCTAAGGCCTGTAATACACCCAGAAATAATTAGTGTTAATATTTGGGTCACTGTGATATTTAACTATCAACGTAATAAGCAAGATAACAAGAATTTCACAAAATTAGAAATTTAATCAGAAATTCAATACACAGCAAAATATTTCTAGTTATGGACAAGGAAGACTACTTGAAGAAGACGGAGGGTTTGCTTGCTTGAAACTAGCTCTATTCAAAAGTTTAGCATCCGGATCACCAAAACCTTGAACAAACTTGTAAAAATAGGGGAAATAATGAAAGCGATAACAAATGGTGACTGCAGTTGAATGAACCTGTACTTCCATCCTTTTTACGACAGATTAAGACTACACAAACTAAAGATTCCCCTACAACCGACAGTTACCTCTTCATGGGCACTAGTTTACAATCTGTTCATCTATCTATGATAAAAGCCTTAGAAAGGATCAAAAGCATTACTTTGGAAATTTATGAATTAATTGTCTTTTGACATCTCAGCATTACAATATCAACTGAACCACAACTGGTTAAGGATACTATGTCTTTCCTCCTAATTGACGACACAAGGCAAAAACTTTATTGTTTGTGTTTAATAAAACTTATTGATCTGTGAGATATGATGGCGCCATGTTACTATGCTCCAATTATTGTTCTTTCTCTATTCAAGTTCTACAAGGGGAATATGTGTATGAATAATACTAGATTTCCGAAATCCTGCTGATCCAGTTGCGTCAAACATTGCAAAAGCAAAAGATAATGTGAAGGGAGAACGAGACTTTGTATTATAGGGTTACTGAATTTCAAAGCCAGTGGAAAGGTTGTTGATTGCTGAATATCAGGAAAGGCAAACTGGAATTAAATTATAAGACCCATGTTGAATATATTACTTTTTACAAAGTGGAATAATTTTAACATATTTGCTTATAGTACAAGCGTAGGTGGGAACAACTGGGAAATATGTAATCTGCTGATATCTAATAATCTTTCAGATCACCTAGTCAGCTAGTATGTTGATGGGAAAATGCACTGAATCTCATCACATGAGCATAGAAAGAAATGAAATACAACTAAAAAATCGATTCTGTTAAAAACATTCCATGATTGTGAGAAACGACTAGCTAATAAATTGACCACCCCCCCCCCCCAATTCGTAACAAACCTTGTCCATCTTATGAAATTAGAAGATGGCAATAAATTTGTGTTTTGAGATATTGTAATGGATAAATTTCAATGAACACTCAAGGCTTGACACCTGCACCTGTCACCACCCGTGCTGAAGATCTCATAATCCAAGGTGCCACTAAATGTTTAAGTGACTAAATAGTGAAACCGGTTTAAATCCTGAAGGCCACTTGAGTTTCGTCAACGTGACTGCTAAGAAATGCGAAATCTAGGTTAAGCGAAATTGCTTGATTACCGGCTTGTAAAACAGTTTATAATGGATGCTTCTAAATATTTACAATGAACAGATTATCGAAACATAAACGTACTTAAATGCATCACAGAAAATTTGAAGTCATTTATTAATTTAGGCATGGTATATTTATTTACTCATTTATTCATTCATAAAGTCAAATTCTCTTTTATTTCTTAATGTTATTTCTAATATTTCTTTGTCTTCATTCCATGAGGCTTTACTGGAATCTGATTCCACAGGATTTGGCAAATATAATCCAAGTTTACTAAAGGAGTGAAAAAAAAAGAAAAGCGGATCAGAGAACAAATATTCCGGTCCGTAAGATAAATATATATTGTGTAATGATCTTGCTTTTATTTCACATATGGTGTTCATTTCATCATACATACATAACATTATTACCACTAGTATCACAGACAACTGTGTATTTGATTTCATCAATTCATTCGCCCTAACAAATCCAGTTTTACTTTAAGCTTAACTATTAATTCATTGAATTTGTCAAAGAAACTTTGTTATGAGGATTGTAACGTAGAAGAACTGTCAGTTTTAAACAAATATATTTGATCACAGTACTAGGCTTGTTTCATAGTAAATTTTACTGAAACTGCTTATTCATACACTTCATGCCAATCCCTCTTTTATTATTCTAATAACCCACAGTACTGGAATAACTATCCTTAAATTAAATTAATGTGTTATATACTTTTGTTTCATTAATATAAGGGTAAAACCATTGTAAAGTGTCACAGTGGTACAGTATAATTCCATATGACACACAATGACGTAGTATTATTTACTGGATTCAGTTTCTAATTCAGGTTTTCTGACTTACCGGTCAAACTCAGCCCGATTACTTTATCCAAGTCTACCTTGATAGGTGCAAGGTGAGATGACGTGAAATCCAAGTATCTTATACTGCATCATTGTGTTCCATATCAAATAAACAGTCTACTATAGAATTATAATTCTGTTGCCTTGGTGATAAAATCATTCATTTTAGTTTTGTAAATTATTTTACTTTACGAGTTTGTAATTCTCATGCATGCTTGGATAAACCAGGTGTTTATTATTTTTATAGAGAATGTACATTTACTCTTCAATGGAGTTTCAAAGGGGAAACTGTGCAACTAACCAATTTTGTCTATTGAGCATACGGCAAACAAGAATATAAGCAAGTTTAATTCGCCTGGATGTTCATTTGTTTTTGTAAATATGACTTACATAGTATGATGTAACCATTTCACAGACAGCTTTTCTATGTGTAGAGTGATTTCAAAAAACTAATCATTCTTTGTTAGACATTGTTGAGCCTTCGTTCAAAAGTTCTCATCCAAAGTTGTTGAAAAAATATAGATAGAAATCAGTTCTCACTACGCATATTTTTTAAAATTTACATTCGAATTGGCTTAGTTTCTCCACTGGCGTTACTTAAAAATCTTCCACTTTGTTCATTTGAATTCGCTGTTTCTAAAGTTGCAGAAATTACATCACGCTTTTTGTTTCAAATTATGTTTGTAGGAGGTTCACTGTTTCCTTTCGAGATTTTCACCTGATTTTGGTTATCTGATCGGGTTGAGTAGTTCTGACAACACCCATTCTTGAGATGAGCGTTTCTTCTTTTTAGTACATTTTGAAGCTGGAAGCCAGTTGTATGAACTTGTTTCTAGTTAATTGGTACACGATACTGAAATCGTTATGTCTGTTGGTTTGTTTGTTCCACGTCACAGCTATTTTTCAAATAATTTTCCCACTTTTTGTCCCAAACTTCAAAGCTTTCCAAAGGGAAGTTGTAACCATGTTAGTCGATCTGCAGGCAGTAGACTGTCTTTATATTACAATAGTTCACTATCATTTAGCTTTCAAATAGGTGATTCAAAATGACAACCAGGTTGTTTAATTTAGTTATGACTGCAATACTTGAACTTGACTATCTGTGTTACATACTATGCTGCGTCACTGATTGCCGAATCTTTCTGTCTGGGCAGGATACTTCAGAGGAATTTGCTTGATTCTTGAGAAAAATCCTAACTGCTTTGACAGTTTGTTCTTCGTTTTTCAATTGTTTTTGACAAGTGGAATTTGGACGATTTTATTTGGTACACTTCAATTTTGAGTTTCATATGATCTGAAATTGTCTATCACGATGAAGCTGTTGCGGTAGTCAGTTTGTTGAGGCGCTGTTTGTGGACAATTTTTTCTTTCCTTGTTACCACATTCATTCTTCCAGACTGCAAATCATATTGATAAGCAGCTTTCTTGTGGACTGTTTAGTTGTCGTTATTGCCGTGAAAATTTTAATGGGTTGACTTTTATAGGCCTTCATCTGTGAGGTTAAATGTACCGTCTTTAATAAAACATCCATCAATAGCAAATTTCTGTCCGAATTGTGAATGAGTTGTTGCATTAACTTTCCATTTTTCCGATGATTACGAATAAGTTATTCTATTACGTAATCCATATTTGTGATCGGTTTATTTGTTACTGTACACGTTTTAATTAGTGTGCTTTCGTGATGGTCAGCAAACCTGAAACAGGAAGTCATTCGTGTAACTCAGGTATTTCATGACTGGAACGAAGCATACGATGAAAAGTAGATGGTGATCAATTACTTTCACATAAAAATTCTTGTTTGCCTTTTCCAGTTGTTGTGATTCAGCGATACAACTAAGTTTCTCTTTGGTCAAGTTCATTGAGATACAGAGAGTCGTGATATCAAAGCAAGTCATAATCTCTTATCTGTTTCTAATTTCATGTGGTTGACTTTCTCCTAGAATCGTATCTTCAAAACACTGTTTGAAGGAATGCTGAAGAACACAATGATTCGCCTCAATAGGATGTATTACCTAAACATTTGTCACCATCTTTAGAATCCTTAACATAGGAGGCCGTTGAACTTAAGCTTCAACTGATCTTCCATCAATTTGATGTAATCTCCTCTCTGTTCAACCATTTGTCCTTTTAGTGAAATATTCTGCGATTGTTTAACACGTTGTTTCGTGCTTTCGTAGTTACAGAGTATTCCTAACGTCTTCTGACTTTTTCCTGTCAACTTTTCATCCTAATTTGTCTGCACTTTTCCAATCTTTCAGATGTTTGCTTTTGATGATAACCTGATATGCAATAATTTGATGACAAGTGTGTATTGTTCGTTTGTTTGATAATTCGCTGCTTTGCAGTTAATAATGGAGAGGTATGTTATTGTTACATACAACCGGAATAAGCTTACAATAAAAGTGTACAAGCTGAACTGACCTGATTGAAGTGAATTAATGTGATATTCTATGAGCTGCATTCCAGTAGGTATAGTGCACATAGTTGTCATTTGACTGAACTGTTAATTTTTGCTATATCTTCCCTATTGTATAATCAAAGGATGTTTTCATTGACTAAATTCAACAGCTTGATATGGGATTTTATCCTGAATCTTTAATGAATCCAACTTACTTTCCAGTTTTTTTCCCACAGTTCTTTGCATAGTTTTGTTCACTGGTTAGTTGCCAACCAATACATTTTACAAAACTACAATTAACTAAATGACTACAGTATTGCAGAAGGTCTCATTTTACTCAATAAAGACAGGTAAAATGAAGTTGAAATCAGAGGGAAACTCTGTTGGTTCAGACTGGTACACTTTAAAGAAGTACAATAAACTATAAGAGAATAATCTTCAGCTAAGAAGACAAGCAGGAGGATATGGGTAATTAAAGAACTAAGTCTTCTTATCAGGGAGGGATTTCAGTACTTCTTATGGATAGAGATTCTTGATTCCTCGTTAAACCTTAGTCTAGACTATGTGCTAGAGTAAAACACGAAAAAAGAAGACAGGAAACGAAGACGGCTATATTTCAATGAATTGCATTTCACATATCTCTAATGCTTCCCTAAAATAGTTGCTATTTTGTACTACTGATTTGTAGCTCATTTTGAATGCTATTTTTGCACCTACTGTATGCTCTACCAGTCAAAATTAAAAGTGTTTTAAAACACCTTAATCTTTTTCAAGAAAAATGACGTAGTTAACAATCTGTTGTTTGTAGTGTGCTATGATCTTTACATATACAAAGTAAACGAAACGAAATTTGTTAAGGGAGAAGTGTACGGCGCTTCATTCCGTTTAATCCTGTTATATGTCTGTGAGATATGGTGGTTGAAAGCAGAAGACTTGGAGCGGTTGCGCTCTTTTGATCTTTGAAGAATTGCTCGCCTTTGGTGGTATCATCATGTGAAAAAATGTTGAGGACGGGTGAAGGGTACTAGGCAAGACGGATAATTTGACTAACAAGGTTGTGAATCTTTATTGACTGTGATGGCTTGGACATGTACTGTACATACTGAGCCACCGCCTACCTCGGTGTGCCATGTTAGGGGAAGTTGGATTAAATTTAAAGAGGGTCCATGGTGGCCCGATCAAGACATAGCACCAGTCGATGAAGTCTCTTACTGTTGGTCTGAGTAGTGTTAAGAGATGTAGACTGCCTCGACGGGGTTGTTGAGACGAAGAGAACTAGTGGTTGAGGACTCTTGGTGATATGACTGAAAATCGGTCACAATAGCGCAGACGTATTCGTTCCTTGACATCTTCTAAAGCTTGAATATTCCCACTAACCGTTATCTTCAAACTGCTTATTCTCGTACACAACTGTGTCTACTTTGAAATTACTCTTATCCTTGTATATTAATGTGAAGTGTAGCAACTTGAGCCGATGAACTTGTGTGCCACATTCTACGTTAGCTTTGTCATTTACTCATTCAGCTAGGATACGTTATATAACATGACAAGCATATAAAGTATTTCAGTTATTTTAATAATAATAATGATAGTGATAATAATGATAATAATAGTGCTTTTAAGGCTATGTGAGAAGTATTTGAAGTGTGCATGAGAACGAAGCCAAAGTATTAAAACTTAAGCACATAAAGTACAAGATGAATAAGAGAAAGAATTACAGCCACACTGAATACTGTTCAACCCACTATACTGTTCAACTTAGGTTTTAAAAAGCGGAGACAGTATAATCCTAGGGATAGGCAGCTAAATGATCACAAGTTACCTTGATAAACGGAAAAGTGCTGTGATAATAAATTTTCCTCATTGTTATACAACATGAATGTCCATAACATTACTTCAAAGTAAACAATGCACAACCATAGTCGTACTGAATGGATTTATAATGCATGTTAAGTATTGCTTAGTTCCAAACTTACTATTTTGGTGCTCTGAGGTCAAGAAAAGTTTCTTTTACGTCTAAATTAATATCAGATAATCGCGTATCAGGAAGTTTCACTTTAATCTGTGAAGAATAAGGAAAAGAAGAAAACAGTTTGAGTATCAATGTGTTGTTCGAGTTCAATTCAAAATTTATAAAATCTATTCTTTGTAGTATATAGTTAGTTATAATCATTTTTGTTTCGTTCAAAGTTCTGAAAATTTTTTTCTCTTTGAGGATGAACTCTCCACATCAGAGCTTTGTTACCAGTCTAGATATCATCTTGAGGATTATTTTAAGTAGAAGTAAGTTTGATACAATTTCTTCGTGAGTATTCATTACAGTAATTTCCTTCTCAGTGAATAATAAGTATGTAACTGTTATTCTTTTAGTTGGGTTTTAACGATATTATGCGTTCCATTGTTGGGAGTCAGTGGTCACCACTCGGGAGCTACAGTGTCGATTTCGGTCTCATCAACAGTCTAGTGCAATCTTACAGCAAATCAACAGCTTCAGATGTAAATATTTGCCTTCTTATTCAAAATATATGGAAAAAGAGGATTGTTACTGTAAATGCAGTATAGAAGCCAAAATCCAAGTTAAATCCCATTTTTTTCTTTGAAGCCATTTCTTTTATTTTAGTTTACTATTCTGACTTCATCACACAGGTAGGCAGACAAACCAACATAGAACCTGGCACACAAGTACATCACTTCAAGCTGTCACATTTCACCGCTGCATGTTAACAAGGAGTAGATATGAAAATAATGGTTTTAAGGTGAACAGTAATGCAGGAAACGAGAGAGAATGAATAAATGGAGTTAGATGAAAATATTCAAGACTTTGAAGACGACAAACAGTACATACATCCGTAAGATTGTGGTCATTAATAGCCATTTCACCGAGATTTTCTAATCGCCGATTGATAACGTCTGGCAGATCATAACCAGACAACCTGCATCTTTCTACCTAGTCTAGGCAAGCAGTTGTACACTTTATGAATTGATGTTACGCCTTGGCATGATTGCCTTAAGCCTTTTTTAACCAAATCATACTTCGGTTATCATCTTACACTGAACACTTTCTAAATTTATGCACACCCGGATAGCGATTAGTTTATTTTGTTACTTTATATGAACTAAATCACAGAAAGAAATACGGCTTAATCCTTAATTCGTATAGTGTAAAACTCCTTCAACTCGTCTTATTTATTTTTGTGAATTGTGGAACACATTTTTCACTATTTCGGAATCAACGGTTTTTTTCGCTTAGTTGTAAGTTTACTTTTAAAGCTGTCATGTAGAAGAAACTAAGAGTAGACCCATTATTCTTCCTTAGTAGTCATAATTTCGGTCTTTTGAAATCTAATTTGCTATTCAGTCATGAATAAAGATGAAATTGTGTCCTTTAATCTTGCTTATGGCTAGAATATCTCATAGATAACACACTGGACAGATTCGATTATAATTAACCCTTCTGATCATGAGAACAAGAAAATTATTGTAGCGAAAAGGTTTTTCTTTTCGATAGACTTTTTCTCTTAGCTTCGCAACTCTGAGGTTGTGGCTTATTAGTGTATGGAGTTGACTTTCAACCAGTGGGTCAGACACCTTTCCACCTTCCACGTTTTGGGCAGCCAGGTAGCACCACTAGGTCTTATGTATCAGATGTGCCTCACTGCCAACTGCATGAATTCATTCGAAGTTGCTGAGTTGATTTCTTCCTGTCTTCTTTCTTTATACCCTTGAAAACATTGTGGAAAAGAACTTTACATTGATACAGTTTTGACTTCTACGGTAAACATTAGATAACAAGTTGAATTGAATATAATATGCGTCATTCATAACATTCAAAACGATTGAGTTTGCCGTGCACATGAAATGCGGATACCTTTTATATATTTAAAACAATTACTATAATGTAAATTCTTTATGATTGCAACCGCAGACTGCAGATACGTCATGCTATCGACTTTACAAATACGCAACTTTGGCCTAAGGTTTCCTGGCTATCATCGTCAACAACTATACATTAAATAAAGTCAAACACGATGGCAAGTCTGCTGTTTCCCTGAACATATTATAACCGTTATTGCTAAAAACCATTTAATAATAAAGACAACATGACAAAAGAAACTAGGAGGTGTATTATTGTTTTCTTCATTCAAACGGGTCGAAAATTATCAAACGGATGTCATTTACTTCGAAATTTTCACCAAAGGTGCTGAAAAGACTTTAAATTTTGTCAGCGTCTGTCTTTACTTGACTAAATCACACTAATCGCACATTGAAATTCAACTATGAGTTCCTTAAAAGTGAACTGATATGCTTGATAAATTGTAGTCAAAAACGTATCACTAATATGTCTTTAACGAGGCTGAATTACAGTGGCTGCCGTTAATATTTCATGGTGGACATTTTCGGTTATCGTTAATTCAGATGACTACTTAGTCAACAGCAGTGCTAAAGACTTCCGTCTTCTAAAGTGTTTCCATAAGCTCAAAATATTTAAAATGAAATGAAAATTTAAGATACTTCTGGGATGAATTCCCATCGAACTGATCTTGTTAAATCCATGTTTATTTAACCTTTCCTTTTTCCTGACTCTATAACTTTATGTTATTATAAGAATGAAACGGGCCTGGTGTTAAATAGTAATTTCATATGACAATGAAAAATAAATTGTATGCGAAATGTTATCCACTAAATAATACTGCTTCACTTTAACGATGAAAAATGTAGTGCAAACTTTGGTGATGGCAGGATTTGGTCTAAACGCCACCAGTTTACGGGCTCAGCTCTCTACCTACTTACTGATGAACCAACCAAAAGTTTCGGAGATTGAAGTGACCGGATAGTCACTGGGTAGATTGCATATACCAGTCTGTTGGACACTGGGCAGGTAACCCGGAGGCCTCTGCTTCGAATCTTTCCATGATTCAGGTTTTAATTTCACTTTCAATCATCACCCAGTTTTATGTAGGATTACATTTTTTGATTTGATATATAAATACCCTGATTTTGACTATTTTTTATCATCTTTTTTCTGCATTTTCTTCCATTTTGGTGTAATAAGAATTTAGAGCTTAGCTTTTATCCGAAGGTGTTAAAGTATATGACATCTATTCTCTGATTACAATGAACTTTATGGTTTTATCACCTATGCAGCTGATGACAGACACTGAAATAGAAACATGCGCATTTTATTCTGATAATGTCTGTATTCTCACTTTGTTCAGAAGAAATACAAATTCAGTTTTAATAATCTAGATGTCTGAATATAACCTCGCCTGGTTAACTAGTTCACTAGTTACTAGCTGGTTCTAAGCCCGGGTAAAGAGGGAAGGTTGGGCATAGGGCTAGCAACCGTACCCCGTAAAACAAGTCTAACCGCTAAAGAAACTTCAAAGCACAAACAAAATATAAAAAATAATAACAAAATTATTCCTCGCTGGAATCGGAGGGCGAAATGAGGCCAGTCGGTGAAAGCCTTCGGGAAGCCAATTGGCCGATGTGTCTTCTCTCGATGAAAGCGAAAGTAAACATGGGGACATGGAATGTCCAAACGATGTTTGAACCCAGTAAGGCAGCCCAGATTGCAAAAGAGATGAGTAGGTATCACATTGAAGTGCTTGGGATTTGCGAAAGCAGATGGAATGGGAGTGGACTCTCCAAACTGTCAACTGGAGAATCAATGATCTACTCCGATATTGTCACACAGACGACAGCCACGAGCACACTGAGGGAGTGGCTATCATGATATCCCCAACAGCATCAAAGGCTGTCATGCAGCGGGAACCAATCTTCTCCTGCAGGTTAATGACAGCAAGATGCAACTCAAAAGGAAGGAAGGTCACAATCATACAATGCTATGCACCTACTAATAATGCAGAGCAAGAGAAAAAGGAGGAATTCTACAGACAACTTCAATCAACACTCAACAAGACCCTACCCAGTTGGCGACATCAAAATTCTAATGGGCGACATGAATGCCAAACTGAGAGGAGACAACACAGGAAGAGAACTAACCATGGGTCGAGAAGCGCTCGGTGAGGTGATGAATGAGAATGGAGAATTGTTTGCAGAATTCTGTGCATACAACGATTTGGTGATTAGAGTCAGGCAGTGTGTTCAAGCACAAGGATATCCACAAAGCCATATGGATTTGATTTAACCAGACACCTGAACACACAAAAAATCAGATCAACTTTATCTCAATCTCAAGAAAGTGGAGACGCAGTCTACTTGACACAAGGTCAAGAAGAGGAGCAGATGTAGGCTCACACCACTCACTATCTAGTGCAAGGAACCTTACAGATCAAGTTTAAAGCCTTCAAAGAAGCTAATGATAGACCGCAGTTCAAGTACAACACCCAGAACACAAACTGAAGGACGAAACTACAAAGGAAATCTTCACGTCAACCATCAAGACAAAATGGGAGATATCTAGCAACATCCCTAAAGAAACCTGTGTGGAAGAACACTGGAAGTCTTTGAAAGAGATGTGGAAAGAAACCTGCACAGCTGTATTAGGAAGGAAGAAGAAAGAAGACAAGGAATGGATCTCGACGGATCTCCACATGGAAGCTGATAGAGGAGGGAGAGGAGGATGGTGAAGCAGATGATAAAGCAGTGCAGTGCAAGGATGCATAACGACAAGAAGAACTGAGTAAAATGTATAAAACACTGGACAAAGAAGTGAATGCGAGTGCGCGCAAAGACAAAAGACACTTCTACGAAACACTGGCAAGTGAAGCAGAACAGGTTGCATGTAAGAGAGACCTGACAACGTTGTATCACATAACTAAGTTACTATCTGAGAGGGGAGAGATCAAAGCAGACGAAACCAATAAAAGATGATGACGGAAATTTAATTACGAAGGAAGAGAAAAAAAGGAAACAATGGGCCGACCACTTCAAGAAGCTCTTGAATCGACCACCACCTGCACTTCGTCCACAAATACCACCAGCAAGTCAGGCCACAGAACTACAAGTGAACATAAATCCTCAAACAAAAATGGAAGTCCTGAACGCCATAAAGTTACTGAAACATGGAAAAGCAGCAGGACCAAATGGGATCCTGCCAGAAGCGCTGAAAACAGACGCAGAGATAACAGCGGACATGCTCACACCACACCACTATTGCAGGTGTGGAAGAAGAGAAGGTACCTGTCTATTGATTGGAAGAAGGGTTACCTTGTCAAACTCCCGAAGCAGGAAGACCTCAGTGTTTGCAAGAACTGGCACGGAATCAATCTCCTGTCCACCCAGAGCAAGCAAAATATTAAGCCACATCATCCTGGAGACGCTAAAGGATGAGCTGGATTCAAAACTACGACCGGAACAGGTTGGCTGGCTGGATTCAGGAAGTACAAATCATGTGCGGACCAAATTACAACGCTTCGCGTCATCATAGAACAGAGCAAAGAATGGCAGTCAACTGAATCTCTACCTCAACTTCATCCACTTTGAGAAGGCCTTTGACAGTGTCGACCGAGAGGTAATTTGGAAACTGCTTCAATACTACGGAATACTGCAAACCTTTATCCGCCTCATTCAACAACTATATGAAGACGCCACATGCCAAGTAATTCACAATGGGAAGCTCAGTGATACCTTTACAGTGAAGACAGGAGTGAAACAAGGTTGCCTACTATCCCCCATGATATTCCTGATTGTGGTGGACTGGATCATGCAACAAACAGTGGGGAGCGAGAAGAGGGGGATATGCCGGCTGGATGGTGGAAAAGAACCTAGAAGATCTGGATTTCGCCAACGATGACTTGTGCCTAATGTCACATAAACTTGAAGATCTACAGGCGAAAACTAACAAGTTAACAGAAGAGGCAGCGAAGACGGGACTTCAAGTGAATATAGAGAAGACAGAGGTGATGAAGATACCCAACCAACAACTCCAACAACAACAACAAACTCCAGTCACCATCAGTGGGAGAAACTCAAAGGAAGTAACCTCCTTCACTTATCTAGGAAGCACTGTTTCAACTACAGGCGGGACGGACGCGGACGTCAAGGTCAGAATCGGAAAAGCAAGACAGGCGTTCATTAGCCTGAAACCAGTGTGGAAATCTTCTGCACTCCACTCAGCATGTGGAACAAGATACGGATTTTCAACACCAACGTCAAGTCAGTCAATGTTTCTATATGGTTGCGAGACTTGGCGCGTTACGAAAGGGATTTCCAATAAACTACAGACATTCATCAACAACTGCTTACGCTCGCTACTGAAGATCAGATGGATTGCCAGAAAGAATAAGCAACAAGGAGCTCTGGGAACGAATCAACCAAGAACCTATCGCTCAACAAATATGCAGAAGGAGGAAGTGGAGATGGATTGGGCATACTCTGAGAAAGCCGACTGGGGACATCACGTGTCAGGCCCTCGAGTGGAACCCAAATGGGAAGCGACGAGTTGGGTGTCCGAGGTGAGGGTGACATTGAGGAGATCATGCGAGGAGGAAATAAGAGCTTATAGGCTGTCATGGAGCCAGATTAAAAAGATTTCAGAGAACAGAGTTCACTGGAGACGTGCTACTGAACCCCTATATTCCATAAGGAACCCAAGGGACTAATAATAATAATAATAATAATAATAATAATAATAATAATAAAATAGATGTCTGAATATAATTTATGACTCGCAATGATTGCTCATTCAAAGTGAATTCAAATAAAGGTGAATCAACAGAGTGACATAAAACGATACTTTCATTGGCAAAATTTTGTCTGTTTATTGTGAAATATTGACTGAATATCTTCAGTTGAACTTGATCTTGTCAGAAAACCAGTTCGCGTAAATAGGTGGATGAATACATTGTAGTCAGTGAAGTTCTTAAAACTATGCGGTATCTTTCTATGCAGAAATGAGATAAACTTATTTGGTATTTGTTTCTACTTCTTGATACATGTGTACGCATTATTAATTCTTATATTTTTCTAACAACTTAACCAACCAACTGACTTATCATCTTATAGGCTAGTAAATAAAACTTTCATTCCACCTTAACACCTTTCTAGTCCACATTCCCTAGTTTCCGTTTAGGTATATCCCTAAATTTTTTTATAGAGTAGTAATATACCTCACCACTGACAAAACTACAGTGACATCAATTACATAATTGAAGTTTGTAGCTATGATTTCTCTGAAAATAAAGTTAGTTCATTAGTTAATAACGTGCTATAAACAATGTTTAGTTAATTGTGAATGAAACTAGTACTAGAAACAGCATAAACTTTTGAATATTTAAGTATTCAGCTCTCATTCACTTTAAGATATTCTCAAAACATCGAAAGTTAAATATTCCTGTTGGCAAGGCCTCTATTCCTAAGTATGATCTTTTTAAACTCAAGGTCAAGCAAATTAATATGTGGCCGGAAATTGCCCTATTTTACAATCCAATAATCTCCAACCTTGACAAATATTCTGTATGGACATTCCTGCAAATAAAAAAAATGCTTCAGGTCCACGTAACTAGGGAAATGATAAAGTTACCTGTTGAGTAAATGTCTACTATTAGGCATTAGAGCTAGGAGAACACGAAAGAGATGATAATTTTCATGCTGCATTTCCTTTATTACATTTTCATATCACGTCTGACTATCATCAATAAAGAATGCGAATATTTTAATGGAATTTTTTGATACAGACAGATTGACAGATAATCATCGGTTTCGAAATCCCATTGATTTCAAGTTTTAAAACATTTGATGAATAAAATTTTTATTGTCTCATACTTGATGGATTAATTTTACTCACCACCATATATTCACAACAAGCTGTTGTTGGATTTTTATTTCCAAGCTGCAAGAATACATCTTCAGCTGATACTGATTGTCTGTACAGTATCTCATATCTATGGATTCAAAGGAGAATTAATAACAATGTATCTTCAGCTATAACGGCAAGAAATATTTTAAAGGCATATGTCTATACTTCCCTTGCTTGGTCGATCGCTCTGTATAGGACATTAGCTTAGTGATTACTGGCCAGCCACTGAAGTAAGTACCAAATTATGTTAGTTCAAACCTCAAGGCGAAAGTAAGTCATCTTAGGGATGTAGGTCAATTGTATTAGTGATAATCTGACAAGCACAAAGTACAGATTAAACAAGATTCTCTGCCTACTGACCCTTTAGAGCCTTACAGGATGTCGCACTGAAAAGTCTTTGAACCTTATGACATACTTCAAATCTGACTGACAGATTTTGATCAACACTTAGTACTTGGCAGTTACCTCTATTACTGTTCGGTGTCTAGTTCGCGTACAGCATTATATGTAAGCGACCGTAACTACCATTTATGATAAAGACAGCGAAGTGATAAGTAGCATTCAAAGATTCATACAGTAGCATAAGAGAATGAGTAGCTTATAATTTACAAAACATAGTGTTTTAGTTTAGATATACACACGTTCTAAACTGAGGTGAAATTGTGAAATTCTCCGCAAGTGGTTTATTAGCTTGTGCTGATTACCTAGGATGGGACGAATTGTTTCTGCCACTATGCCTTCATTTTCTTCAAGCGCACTTCGATTGGCAATCCTGCTAACTTGATCACTAACCTTTTTATTGTTTCTCATTTTCCTATAAGTTGATAGATCGGGTCAGTTTCATTGTGTCCATTTATCGCTGACTAAACTGCATACCAAGCTTTTGAAAACCACCTGGTTTTCTTTTTGGTTCTTCTACACAGGACTTTCATATTTACCCAGTCGAATTCACATCCATAATTATCAACGTGTACTGTTGGTTCATGGGAAGACATCAAAGCACTTGACTATTAGTTATTAATGTTCATGTAGACAAACAACAAAAAGTTAGACACTGGTAATTATCATGTTTCTGACAAGCGTTACAGTTTAGTTTTGCAGATGACATTATACTTATCCTCCTTTATCATTGTCTTCTGCACTAAATGGGGTGGAGAGATTCTGTAGGTTCATGAGCTACGATGACTCTGAAAGGCTTCAGTAATCCACGTGAAATCCCTGAGAAGTTATTCATGTGTGGGAGAAAACTTCGTTTGTTAGTTTTATAGAAATGACCTCTTGGTTGCTAGTTAACTTCATGATAAAATTCTGGTGGTAGCTGTTCTTGTGATAGATATATATCAAATACTTTCTTTCTTTACCCAACAAGGTTGACTTTGCTGTTCTGAACAGTGTTCTTCACAACTGATTTTATGTTGTTAGACTGTTGCTACTGTAGTTAGGCAGTTGATAACTGAGTTAATACCAATGATCTTAAGTTTCTGATTCAGCCAAATCAGTCATGGTGAGCAGAACATCTAGAAATAGGAGATTTTCATGTGCTTCTTCTTCAGTGGTGATTTTGTTGTTGTCAAAAACTTTGTTGACTAATTTGTAAGCATTTCATTTCTTGTTAGATAACATGACTATTTTTCTCCTGTTAAACAGTATCAAAAATTCGAACGGCCTTCTGATATATATAGCTTAGCATTTTCAACTCCATCGAAGATACTTTTCATAGTTGTGACATAATCAAAAAAGTACTAACTTGAAAGTTTCAAACTACAGATTAATGGTCTCCTTCTTGTTTCGGCTTTCAGTGGACTGAACTGATAATCAAAACAAAACTGTCTGTTACTACTCGACTGTTATAAGCTTTTGAGTAACCGAAGTTGATTTATATGTAGAATAATAAACGGGGAACACCACTAAGTAGATGACATTTTGAACGTGGGTTTGGATGTAGGCTGTACATGTCAAGCTACTTTCTTCTTCGATGCATCATGTTTCCTGAAGTGCGATCAGTTGAGCTTAAAACTGATAGTGATAAGATCAAGGCATGGTAACATTACATGAATTCGCCGACCGTTGTTCATTCTAATCCGCATATCGAATTTCGTCATTTTGTTACCTCTCCTACCCTCCTCCTTTTGCTTACATTTTTCCCCTATAACTCTACCTACCATTTTGTTATCTTGTATCTCAGCATGCTAATATCAGATGTGGAAATTTGGACCATTGTGTAACAATGTCAGTCTTTATATTGATACCGTATAACCTATAGATTATTGCTCACAGTCGTGTAAGAAGGTGTAAACCTTCGTTCTGAGGTCCTCGTGACGTCAGAAATCAGTGGTGGAAGGCCCTCAATAACTCAGTTTCCATCAAATCACACAGATGCTAAACTGACTCATCACTTATAACTTAAAAAGTCCTAACATTTTACCATCTTATTAGTGTTTATTCTCCTTGTCTTCTGATAACCATTTGTACATTTTAATATCAGTCTTTGCTGACCTGATCTTAATTTTATGAAGTGATGCATCGTTGCATAAGGTTCTACGTTGATTCACCAATCTATCAAAGTGTTGCTCAGTAAATTTAAACAGGTGACAGTATAGCGTAATTTCTTATCACTTACTTTGGTTGAGGTCGTGGATCATATATATCTTCATATTGTGTACCTTCAGGTATTTCATCAGCATCCCATATATCATCAGGATTCTTTGGCTTTTGGTTAGACTTCTCTTTCTTCACTAATCAAATGAAATGTGCCTGACTATTAAGTTGAAATTTAAACAAACCATCAGATCGACGTTTTGGACCAATATCACTTGGCTTTATTTTCGACAATGGAGACACAGTCTACTCAGGAAAAGTCATAATAAGTATAGTAGTTATGCCAACCATTTTGTAGAGGGTATTGAGTAATAATGAATTTTCGGGATATGATCGATTACTTAAGGTGTTCAATGTCTTTAAAAGACTACATCTCCTTACAAAATGCATGTCAGTGCATCATTCTATCTAATCTCACAGCAAGTTTTAGTCATACTTAGTCAAAATATTTAAAAATGGCTGCTCCAGCCTATACGAGTAAATCATCCGCATCAAAAATAATGACATCACAGAAATTTACAACTTAATATCAAACGATGAAGGTTGTTTCCACTTTAAACATTTCAAGCACAAATGACTAGACATAAAGATACAAGCGAAAGAATTGTTATTCTTAAAGCACAACACATTAGGCAAAACACAGCATCGAAATATATATATATATATATATATATATATATATATATTCACGCCTAGGTGACTAGCCCATTAGTTACTAGCCAGTCCTAAACCCGGATAAAAGGGAAGGTTGGGTATAGGGCTACCAACTATAACCGTGGAACAAATCTATCTGTTAAAGAAACTGCAAAGTACAGAGAAAATATAAAAAATAAAATTAAACTTATTCCTCACTGGAATCGTGGAGGCGAAATGACTCCACTTGGTGAAAGCCTTCGGAAAACCAACCGGTCATTTTGTCTTCTCTCGATGAAAGCGAAAGTAAACATGGAGACATGGAATGTCTGGACAAGGTTTGAACCTAACAAGGCTGTCCAGATTGCAAATGAAATGAGAAGGTGTAGCATAGAAGTGCTAGGAATCGACGAAAGGAGATGCAATAGAAGTTGACTCTAACCAACTGTCAAATGGAGAGTCAATAATCTACTCTGATATTGTCACCCAGATGACAGCCACGTGCACACTGAGTTTCGGAGTGGTTATCATGATGTCCCCAACAGCATTGAAAGGTGTCATGCAGTGGGAACCAATCTCCTCCAGGATCATAACAGCAAGGTTCAACTCAAAAGGAAGGAAAGTCACAATCATACAATGCTACGCGCCTACAAATAATGGAGATCAAGGGAAGGAGGAAGAATTCTACAGACAGCTGCAATCAGCACTCGACAAGGCCCTACCCAGTTGGCGACATCAAAACCAATTCTGATGGGTGACATGAATTATAAACTCGGAGCGTACAACACAGAAAGAGAACCAACCATCGGTTGAGAAGCACTGGATGAAATGAATGAGAATGGAGAACTATTTGCAGACTTCTGTGCATTTGATGACTTGGTGATTGGAGGCAGTGTGTACAAGCACAAGGATAATCAAAAAGCGACATGGATTTGATTCCACCGGACACCAGGACACACAAAGCTCAGATTGACTTCGTTTCAACCTGAAGAAAGTGGAGACGCTACATACTAGATACAAGATAAGAAGGGGAGTAGGTTCAGACCACTCACCATCTAGTGCAAGGAACCTTCAAAATCGAGTTGATAGCTTCCGAAGAAGTTGGTGATAGACCACAGTTCAATTTGAACACCCGAAACAAAAACTAAAGCGCGAAACTACAAAGGACATCTTCAAGTCAGTCAGTCGTCAGGAAAAAATCGCAGATATTAAGCAACATCCCTGAGGAAAAATCTGTGTAAGAAAGCTTGAACACTTTGGAAGAGATATGGAAAGAAACCTGCATAACCGTATTAGGAATCAAAAAGAAGAGACAAGCCAACGAAAGGATCTCGTCGCACACACGAAATCTAATAAATGAAACAAAACAAGACGGCGAACCAGAAGAAGAAACAGTCCAGGCGGCCATAAACAATGAAAAGAAGAACTGAGTACAACGCATAAAACATTGGACAAAGAAGTGGAGAAGAGTGCACGGAAAGACAAAAGACACTTCCACGACACACTGACAAGTGAAGCAGAACAGACTGCAGGTAGGAGAGACCTGATAAAACCATGTCAAATAACCAGGCTACTATCTGCGAGGAAGGAGATAAACGCAGACGAGACCAATGAAAGATAGTATAGGAAACCTGGTTACCACCAAAGAGGAGAAAAAAGGGAAACAATGAGCCAACCACTTCAAAAATCTCTTGAATCGACCACCACTGCCACCACCTGCAACTCGTCCAGGAATACCTCAAGCAGCCGAGCCACAAAACTACCAGTGAACACAAGCTTTTCAACAAAAGTAGCAGTGAATTCCTGAACACCATAAAGCTGCTGAAATATGGGAAAGCAGCAGGACTATATGGAATCCCGCCAGAAGCACTGAAAACAGACACAGAGACAACGGTGGAAATGCACACACCACTGTCGCAGAAGGTTTGGAGGGAATGAAAGGTACCTGTCCACTGATTGGAAGATGGGGTACCTTGTCAAACTTCCAAAGGAGGGCGACCTAAGTGTTTGCAAGAACCTGCCCGGAATCATGCTGCTGTCCACTGCAGGCAAAATATTATGCTGCATCATCCTGGAGAGACTAAATGATGCACTGGATTCCAACTTACGACCGGAAAAGGTTGGCATCAGGAAGAACAACTCATGTGCGGATCAAATTGCAACGCTAAGCATCATCATAGAACAGGGCATAGAATGGCAATCAACTGGATCTCTACCTCAACTTTACCAACTTTGAAAAGGCCTTCGACAGCGTCGAACGAGAAGTAATTTTTCAGCTGCCGCTTCAACACTGTGAAGTAACACAAACGTTTGTCAACCTCATCCAACAACTATAGGAAGAAGCGACATGCCAAGTGAATCACAATGGAAAGTTTGGTGATGCCTTTGAAGTGAAGAAGGACAGGAGTAAGACAAGGCTGCCAGGTACTATCACCGATGATCTTCCTGATTGTAGTCCACTGGACTGGATTATGCTGCAAACCGTGAGAAGCGAGAAGATGGGCATACGCTGGACCGATGAAAAGAGCCTAGAAGATTTGGATTTCGCCGATGATGATTTAAGTCTAATGTCTTTTACGCTCGGGGATCAGCAAGCAAAAGCCAGCAACCGACAACAACAACAACAACAACAGGCACCAATCACCATCAACGGGAGAAACCTAATGAAGTAGACTCTTTCACCTACCTAGGTAGCATTCTTTTAACCACAGGTGGCACAGACGAAGACTTCAAAGCCAGGATCGGAAAGATGGCAAGACAGGACTTCATTAATCTGAAACTAGTGTGGAGATCTAATGCCCTCAGCATAAAGCGTGAACAACATCCGGATTTTCAAACTTAATGTCAAGTCAATGCTTCTATATTGTTCAGACACTTGGCTCGTCATGAAAAGTATTCTTAACAAACTACAGAGATTCATCAACAGCAGCCTACGCTGGCTCGACACTGAAGATCAGATGGCCAGAATAAAAGGAATAAGCAGCAAGAAACTCTAGCTTGCAAGGAACCAACCAACTACTCATAGCTTAAAAAATATGCAGAAGAAAGCGCAGATCGATTGTATGGTACATACACACAGAAAACCATTCGGTGGCATAACGGGCCAGGCAATCGAGTGGAATCCGAAAGGGAAAAGACAAGTTGGGCACAGAGATTTTATCCCACACTGTTGTGTGGTTGGATGTTAATACATTGATTGCAATAGCCCAACACTTTACTACATTATTTTTCTTATTCGGATCTGTCAAGCTATATCTACCTAAATTCTTATGTGCCGTTAATCTAACCAGCCTAGACCGGCCAGTTTGACTTAAGTAATTGAACTCGCAGACATTTCATGGAATTTGATAGATTGGATTATTTTGCTTAGATGGTTCTATCAGATCCTCAACCTGACAAAACGCATCTCTAAACTACTATGTAGGTTTGAATGCCACCCTCATTTCAGAGTTGTTGAGAATCCTACGTAAAGTTTCTGATGTTCGCTCCTTATAGGGTAACACAATATAGGCTTTGAACCTATTTTTGCTTGTGTTGTCACTATTATGTTTATTCGTACGACTAATATAATTTTGTTTCTTATGTGATCATACGAATTTCTCAGTAAAACTGTAGAGGGTAATTACCAATTCTTAATACTTCTTTCATGTCTTCCAATTACTTGTTTAAGTCCCTACACTGAACAATGAGTTCTTCAGCTCCATCATCTAGACATATGACTAAACCCACCTTGAATGACATTGGATGAGATGACCTGAAGTCTAGTTTCCTGTTGGAATGTGTCGCCTTTCTGTAGACAGTAGTATCTAAACCACTGTCTGACATTCCTTTTCACTCTGCAATCCAACACAGCAAATTCCCCTTGTTCACAACTCGAAAGTGAACTGGGTTGCGTCTACCACTGAGTTCATGTATGAGGAAACTGTCAATCTGTCCTCATTTCAACACAGTAAATGTGTCATCCACATATCGACACCACATCATAGGTGCAGGATTAAACGTTCGTAAGGCCGAATTCTCCCAATCTCCATAAATATATCTGCTACGACTGAGAATATCGGTGACCCCCTTGCTACTCCTTCTGTTTGTCTAGATATTTTGACCTGAAACTTGAAGAATGTGGATGTCAGTCACAATCGTACTCCTAATAAGATTTCATCAACAGATATCCTAGTTCTGTGAGTAAGTTCTGAGTCAATATTCAGTTGATTTCTGACTGCATCCAGTGCCATATTGATGAGCATTTCAGTATGAAGACTGTTTACATTGAAACTAACCACTTTATTCATTCGCCCCTATGTGTCCGTCATCAAGTCTTAGTTTTAACTCGTAGGAATTGACTAGACTGGAATTTGAACGCTTCGTAATGGGACATAATATCGATGTTAAGTACTCCGACAGTTCATATGTTCGGGTATTTCGTAAGTCGACTATCAGTCGAGTGGGACAACCTGGTTTATGAACAAACCTTGAAAGTACAGTAAATTCTGCTAAGTTTTCTTGTTTCAGGCATTAACGTAAATCATTCAAACTCACCTAGAAATGGTTTCAGTCGGTATAGCAGGTGGGCTGTAGATTTGTGAATTTTATTCATGACAGTCTTGTTAGGTTTCTTCATGACGTCCGTCAATTTTGTTGAGGTAATCCGACTTGTCTGTGACTACTGTTGAATCACCTTCAGCAATTACTATGTTATTGTCATTTCGTAGATTATTTAGAGCTGAATTTTCTATTTTCGTTGAGTTTCAATGTGTCCTCTTTTGTTTTTTCAGAGCTAATGCACACTGTGCTCTAACGTGTTCAGCAGTTGCTGCATTCACCGAGTGTGATGCCACTTCTGTGCTAGATATGATACCTTCGGGTTTTAGATGACCTACTGCAACACTCAAGTTTAGTCCTTTTCAAGCACTTTCGTTGTAGCTCAGCTTGAACTATTGAGGATAGATTGACCACTGAGTTTAGTCTATGGATGTTTGATGATGAGTTTTTGTGATGTAGCGAGAATAAGGTCTTGGTAGCTCTTGCTTTAGATATTATGGGATCCATAGCTCACAAATATTGGACATAAAAATAAAGGCACTTTTACTAGCTTCAAGTTTCAAAAATAGGCTGTATTTGTCGTTGGCAGACTGTAATTGATGTTTCTATCTATTTTTATGTTCTGATATAAAGAAATTGTCAATTGGATTTGCAATATTTTTACGAATCGAAGTGATTACACTGCAGTGCATTGCGTCTTATGTTGAATTTTTGGAAGTCTGCTGGTAGAAACATCTGAATCACCTTAGTTTCATGTCTTGTGTCACACGTTAACAGTACATATCTGCAACTTTGAGGGACAGATGTTCCTCTGGAGTTGCCATTTCGCATCACTCAGTCCTGAAGTTAGATACTTTTAAACAAGTACTGAATAATATATATTCATATTCGAGAATCACCGACAATAACATGTGGTGGACCCTAAAATCGATAGGCATTTTCCAAAACAAACTACTGGTTTGTGATGACCAGTTAACTCTGAAGGAGATTTCATGATAGAAAGCTGATTCGTCCCGGTTCGGGAGTACTCAGCACTATACGCCCACCTGCTCACGATCAAACGAGTCCAGGAAAATTGAGTTTTCACTGGGAGTATGTTACCACCTAACCAGCGGGATAGAATCCAATGGTTCATATTGTCCTAATTCTATCATCTATCTCGACCTGCACCTGATTACATTGGAAAGCATTTTGGCCAAACACCCAACTTGGCTGACATCGCACGTAACACCTCATTATAACCTTTAGAAATTCATCTCGAAGTGAGTCACTAATGAGTACTGAATTGTAACTCAATTGGTGGTTTGGGCCCATACTTAGACCTCATGGTACCAAGCTTTTTCCTTTGCACGACTTTACTTGTCCGCTGCTGAGGAATTTCAGACTAAAACAAAGACGTTGTCCAATGCTCTCAGGTTTTCACCATTCGCGGGATTAGTTTTGTGAAGGAGAAGTCAGAGCTATAAGTTTTTATATCAACACACTTTTTAGACACAGGTGCTACCTTAGCTTTTACTGCCAAACACAGTGTCCGGAAAACATTGCCACATTCTGCCCACCAACGCTTTCTTCACATAACTCAAGCTGTAGCAATAAGATTTATCAGACGTGAAGTCTGAACTCAGGAAGAAAAGGTTCAGAGGTCATTCCTCCCTTGACCTTTAATAAACAAGAAGATATTCCCATCATCCTTGTTTGTAGTCATTTTTCTTCTATACTATATTTTATTGTATACGTACACAAGTTATCTTTAGGTTCACAAATTTGAAAATAAAAAATCTGTATGCTCAATTCTGTAGCTTTCCAGTCAATCAGAGTCAGTCTGGTTATTTGTTAGGATTTGTCGCTATGGAAAATGTAGGTCCTGAATTCGACCCCTTGTAGATTTACCGGTGCGCACTGTTGAAAAGTCTTGCACCAGGAAGGAACAGTTGTACAGCGCTTCATATATCTGTCCATGATGAATACCACTTTGCCATCCAAGTCAGCCAATGATAAAAACGTTGTATGAAATTTGTAAATTATCTACGAGTGGAATAATTCACGGTGAGTTTTCCACAACTCAGCGGGTTTTTCTATGCACTAAGCAGCAGTGTCAGTAACCTACATGCTAACTAGCACAAGCAAAAGGAAAGTACAGTGTCCAGCTCACCTACATTTGATTAGCAGAATTAGGTGATCGGCATAAGTGGTTTTTAAGAAATCATTTTGCTCACTTACACATTTTGCTAATGAAGCGAAAGTTAGGAATGGTTTATAGTTGGGTCGCGTACCTTGATGGAGGCGACGATCTGGTAAACAGTGTCATATAATTCGAAAGCTTCTCCTACTTAAGTTTCTGTTTTTAACCGTTATAAGCATAAGTTCATACTAAGATCAACCTACAAAGCTGTCTCCCTCAGATAGTCAAGTCAACAAAAAAATTAAAACATATATATATGAGACTGTAACCTCATGATTGTGATATATTTGCTTCTTGTTATATTTAATATACATGAGGAGAGACCAATTTCTTTTGATCACTGAATTGTGCTTCAAACCTCTTTACAACTGCATAACTATATCCCATTCGATTTACGCACTCGGCTGCTTAGTGCTAAGAATGGAACCCGAATTTACCGCATTAGTGAAGAAAATAACACAAATATCCTCGGAGGAATATCTAAAACTAGACTAGTTTAAAGAAAGATGAGAACACAAGAAAGGAATCTTTCTGACTCAGCTTTGATATGACGTTAAAAAAAGTTAGTCCTATCCCACCTAAATTTCAATTAAAATACACTCAAAATGGGCGGCCTAAGATCAATAAAGAATAAATTCGGTTAGCATTCAGTTTCTGTTTCATTACGGTACTTATACACCCATTTTCTTCCTATACCGAATTCATCTCATTGTCATTGTGAAACTGAACATTCAAGAATACAGTTTAAAGTTTATAAATTAATAAAATTTAATCTAATCAAAAAATTTAGGAAATCTTTCAACTTACATCATCATGGTCACTTCCTTCTTCTTGTTCTTCTGGATCTTTTAGTAAATTTTGCAATGCACGTATATTTTCTCGTGACCATACAGGTACCATTTTCTTTCTATTTTTTAATCAATAAAACTGAATGCGAGTTTTATGTCAACGATCAGTAACTGTATTAACGTAACACTTATAAAGGTAGTTGAAAGCCGGTTAAATGAGTAGACTAATTTGACTATATATATATATATACCAAGGTAAATATTCTATTCTAAAGACATAAGAAACAGTATAAACAGAGTTGAGAAAATTGAGTCATGTTTTCTAGAAAAAGAAGCATGAGATTTAAAAAGGAACTTCCTAGGCGTATAGTTTCACAGAAGCTGGTTTGTAAGATCAAAACCTCTTCACCGAAAGTTAACAACCAAAAATAACAGAGTATTTTTGCAAAAAAGTAGAGAATTAAACTTGATATTCGACTACAAGAAATCTTAGTAGAATAGGATATTTTGCTAAAGAACATATGATGTCCTTTAGAAGTGATCACTAGTTGTGATAAGAGAGACATTATGCAATACTGATGCCTACTAGTTTTGATGAGTCAAAGTTCCAACAAGCATATTTCTTCTACGTATTATATGAAAATGGCATAGTTTTCAAACTTTTGTAATCACCTCACACTTTTCGTACATATTCTTTCTTCTACTACATCACATTGCATTCTAACACAACCTATCAAGTATTTTGTATGGAATTAAACTGTAATTGAATTATGCCACATGGTAAGTTATTAAGTTGGCAATTTCAGTTCAGCTAAACACGCATTACTATTTCTGAAGGTTATGAGGTTTACTAAACTTACGGAACTATTTAGACCTTAGAATGATATTCAATAATTCTTGAAATTGTAAAAATAATTAGTTTGAAAAAATGCTAAGCAACTGCAATAGCTACGTAGATAGAAAAAGAAATGGATACTTTAATATCTCTTCTTGTCAGATAAATAGTATTAGAAATATTGACGAAACCGATTAGGAAAAGGCACTGCAAACAAAACGGGTACCAAAACAGAAAGAAATTAAGCATTTCGGTCATCGAGAAAAAGGTTGTACTGACGGTTATAAGGATACAGTTTTAAAACAACACAAGAGCCTCAAAGAATCCTCTTCTTTTTATTAAAAGATATTTGACTACCTGAGCTGCTAATATACGCACAAATAGAAAGGAAGCAATCCGTTACATTTTTATGGTTCCTGAGAATTATGATTGACCCTAGGAGGAAATACTATGAGTGCACTTATATGAGTAAGATTACAGTCATCAATTTGTTCTAAAGGTCAGTTTGCGGAGGTGAAGCGAGAAAGAAAATCTTATGACAGATGACAAAAATCTATTACCCTTTGTCGTCATCTTCAGTCATATTCCTAATCTCAATATTATTATCCAGTACAGTTGCACTCAAATGTCCTCAAGGCCATCAAGCTCTCTTAACTGAGTAATCTTCAATTTCTTTTAATCATTAGCGACGGTAATTTATCTTCGCTTGTAAAAGTATAAGATGAGTTTTTAAAATGAACTGGAATTTATAAAAAGTGAGTTTATAAAGACGAATTGATTTTTAATATTGGAATGATGAGTTACTTTTTCTCGAACAAGTAATTGAAACATTGACAAATTATATGACTTTACAGATATTGGCTATATTTTCCAGCTTACACACGATTTGTGATGTAGTACAAGTTTTCAAGTCAACATAGTACACAGCTGACTGTTTTTAAAGTAGTCATTCAATCCTCACTGAAATATGTCGAATGCCATCCACGCAGTGTAAGTTACCCAACAGGATGATATTTTGTAATATTCACTAAGCTTACTCATGAACTTATTAAATCTCGCTTGTAGGTCGTATCACTAGGATACTTTTATAATGCTGCAACACTCTATGAACAGAAACAAAATTGTCGATTGCAGTAAAATAAGCATAAATCATAAATAGAAAACTAAAAAAATTAACGTAACAGCCAAACAAATAATAAAACAAAGGATATGAATCTTAAATTGTTTTCATATGCTTAATAACACAAGGGATCAACGTAAAATTTGTTGTGACAAATAGCAGCTGTGGTATTTGTCTTCAATGTTCAATTAAGTTCAGGTGGTTTGATAGGTTTGTTCAACGATTCACTGAATAGGTGATTTGGCATCACTGATTCAGTACAATCCCATAATGCATTTCCTTTGGTTGATAAAAGACTATTGGTATCGAAATGTGACGGATTTTCTGTTAATTTCTGTCGAAGACTTTCCATACGAAGTGTAGTACGATCGACAATTCCAGACTCTTCAAGTGTAGCTGATTGGTCAACTAAAGACTGACGATAATAAAGTTCATTTGAATTGTTAGTTGAATTACGTATACACATAGTCACAAGACGATAATTTCGATTGTTTACGGATGAATGTTTTGATCTTACTTGATCAAGTATTGAATACAATTGTTGTACAGTACTTCTTGAATCCATTTTGAGATTGTAAATTTCGGAACCATTCTCTGAATAAATTCTTAGTGTTATAAATTTATTTGACTTGATTTCATCATTATCTATGTATGGTGTTTCAGTTGCATGATTTACTTCAATATTTTTAGTTATTGGTATGCTAACTTGTCTACCAAATTCATTCTGAATATCTTGTCGTATATTTAATATTTGACCAGATTTAGTTAATTTACACGCCGGTAAACGCTTTAATAAATCATCAAATGTTAACAGTTGACTCCGTTTATCGTTCAGTGTATGCGGAATTATTTCACTAAATAAATTATTCATTTCTTCATCAGTTTGATTGTCAACTCTGAAAGAGAAATGTAATGAAGAACAATAGGTCGTCTATTCACCTTTAGATGATTAATAGTTAAATATTGTATATATTACTGCCTGATGAGTAGTTATAGACCACTCGGGCTTAATAACAATGCTTAGCATAGAAATTGAAACGATTCTGAGTAGAAGAAAGCAGTTCTTAGGTTTTTTCAGTGACCATATCAGGAGTGATTCAGCTCATTCAAATCATCTTAATTTCGGCAAGTCACTTAGAAGCAAGTGTGTCTTAGGTATACGAGGGTATATGATGATATTCACTTACGAACACTTAAACGATAACCTTCTATTTTTACTCTTGACGGTCACTCAGTTCCTCGGTAATGTCAAAGGTAGTCAGATAAGAGAAGGTGTATTGTATTTGAAACGTGTTGATTGTTTGTAAAAGATTTCAGGAACTATCAGTTTCTCAGAAGAATTTTGACAGTTATAGTGGAGAACATAGAAGTTCCCTTCAAAATGTCCGGTTAGTAGTGAAATGTGACGTGATTATAAAGTTCCATCAAGATTTCTTCTGGTTACCATGATATTCAAAGTGTAACATATTATCTGGTTAACACCGTAAATGATGAGAAGGAAAGTTGTAAATCTGATGCTATTCTGTTTATCATCAGTTCACTTAACCGGCTATCCCGAACTAGGATGGTTTGAACACATCGGTTCTATTAGCTGGATGAATTCAATTACACAACTGCTAAGCTTTGTTCCTAACGAGGAAAGCCATTTTCAAGTACTCTGGATCAAACCAACCTGATTAATGAACACTGGTGATACCCAGAAATGGCTTACAACTTCCGACACCAACTATTCGTCTATATCTTATAGCTTTCATGCACACAATCATAGCACCCTTTGTGATATCAAAAGAGATCACTTACTAAGGGTTGAATATTTTAGTTTCTAGAAGAAACCATAATAAAATTTTAGATATTGATCTTATTTATTGTGTCATTCTTTACACTGACTGTAAATTTTACAAATATTTGATTCGATTCTGTCCAGTTACTAAATAGTTAAATCTTTTCCCAATTTAAACCCTAATCAACATGAATATTACCGCTTTATTCAATACCTCTTAATATCATTTCTCATGCCCTTTCTTCTCTACATGTTATTAAAAAGTAGTAACGTTTACACTTCACTTATTTTCCTGCTTAATACATTATGTACAGTATTACTGAATAGTTACCGAAAACTACTTTCATATCATTTTTCACTGTAAATTTATTGCATCAGTTAACCACCTTTCTTTTCTTAACTATATTTCTCCATGTTCCATTCTTTTGTGCATATTATCTATCACCTTAACATTCGTTTATCCCAGCACTTCTATAAACTTATTTTGTACAGGGCAAATTATGGGTGAGGCTAAAAGTTATTCCCAGGTGTTATATGTGAAAATAAGTATTTTCTGTGTTCTATAAGCATATATTTTGAAGTGGAAACTACGCTCTTAAATATATTTTGCTACAATCTGAAGGCTCAGATGACTTCTTACGATTTGTAAGCATCGTTCTTCATAAATGAATGTATTTTCATCCCAACTAGAAGGTAGGAGTGCAACCGATACTTTGCACATGAATAAACGGCATGAAACGTGAATCGGTGACAGAGGGGATTTTAGAAACAATAGAGAAAGGTAAAATAAGTGTAAATTCAAGCATAGAACGCTATATCCCACAAGAAGCACGATAACAACTGGGAATAACCTGTAGCCTCATCCAATATTTCAAATGACAATTTTTTGCGTTTTGATTTATAGCATTTCATGAGTAACTCGCATACTGGATCTTGAATTATAATAAGAGATTAACAGGTATACATCGCCTCAGAGTATTACTGACTTAAAAGAAACGTCCATTTAAATAATACCTTCATTTTAATGTCCAATATTTGTGAGCTATGGATCCCATAATATCTAAAGCAAGAGCTACCAAGACCTTATTCTCGCTACATCACAAAAACTCATCATCAAACATCCATAGACTAAACTCAGTGGTCAATCTATCCTCGATAGTTCAAGCTGAGCTACAACGAAAGTGCTTGAAAAGGACTAAACTTGAGTGTTGCAGTAGGTCATCTAAAACCCAAAGATGTCATATCTAGCACAGAAGTGGCATCACACTCGGTGAATGCAGCAACTGCTGAACACGTTAGAGCACAGTGTGCATTAGCTCTGAAAAAACAAAAGAGGACACATTGAAACTTAACGAAAATAGGAAGTTCAGCTCTAAATAATCTACGAAATGACAATAACACAGTAATTGCTGAAGGCAATTCAACTGTAGTCACGGACAAGTCGGATTACCTCAACAAAATTGACGGACCTTATGAAGAAACCTAACAAGACTGTCATGAATAAAATTCACAAATCTACAGCCCACCTGCTATACCGACTGAAACCATTTCTAGGTGAGTTTGAATGATTTACGTTAATGCCTGAAACAAGAAAACTTAGCAGAATTTACTGTACTTTCAAGGTTTGTTCATAAACCAGGTTGTCCCACTCGACTGATAGTCGACTTACGAAATACCCGAACATATGAACTGTCGGAGTACTTAACATCGATATTATGTCCCATTACGAAGCGTTCAAATTCCAGTCTAGTCAATTCTTATGAGTTAAAACTAAGACTTGATGACGGACATGTGGGGGCGAATGAATAAAGTGGTTAGTTTCAATGTAAACAGTCTTCATACTGAAATACTCATCAATATGGCACTGGATGCAGTCGGAAATCAACTGAATATTGACTCAGAACTTACTCACAGGACTAGGATATCTGTTGATGAAATCTTATTAGGAGTACGATTGTGACTGACATCCACATTCTTCAAGTTTCAGGTCAAAATATCTAGACAAACAGAAGGAGTAGCAAGGGGGTCACCGATATTCCCAGTCGTAGCAGATATATTTATGGAGATTGGGAGAATTCAGCCTTACGAACGTTTAATCCTGCACGTATGATGTGGTGGTGATTTGTGGATGACACATTTACTGTGTTGAAATGAGGACAGATTGACAGTTTCCTCATACATGAACTCAGTGGTAGACGCAACCCAGTTCACTTTCGAGTTGTGAACAAGGAGAATTAGCTATGTTGGATTGTGGAATGAAAAGGAATGTCAGATAGTGGTTTAGATACTACTGTCTACAGAAAGGTGACACATTCCAACAGGAAACTAGACTTCAGGTCATCTCATCCAATGTCATTTAAGGTGGGTTTAGTCATATGTCTAGATGATGGAGCTGAAGAACTCATTGTTCAGTGTAAGGACTTAAACAAGTAATTGGAAGACATGAAAGAAGTATTAAGAATTGGTAATTACCCTCTACAGTTTACTGAGAAATTCGTATGATCATATAAGAAACAAAATTATATTAGTCGTACGAATACACATAATAGTGACAACATAAGCAAAAATAGGTTCAAGGCCTATATTGTGTTATCCTGTAAGGAGGGAACATCAGAAACTTTACGTAGGATTCTCAACAACTCTGAAATGAGGGTGGCATCTAAACCTACATAGTAGTTTAGAGATGCGTTTTGTCAGGTTGAGGATCTGATAGAACCATCTAAGCAAAATAATCCGATCTACCAAATTCCATGAAATGTCTGCGAGTTCAAGTACTTAGGTCAAACTGGCTGGTCTAGGCTAGTTAGATTAACGGCACATAAGAATTTAGCTAGATATAGCTTGACAGATCCGAATAAGAAAAATAACGTAGTAAAGTGTTGGGCTATTGCAATCAATGTATTAACATCCAACCATACAACAGTGTGGGTTAAAACAACTGTGTTTAATTGGAATATAAAAAGGAGAAGAGAGAGATTGATTGCAGAATCAGTGTTCACTGAATCAACACGCGACACGTAATTGAAATGATGCAACACCTATGTACCAGAGATATGGAAAATTTTACTACCCGTAAAGACGAAGAATAAGAGGTGACAGGACTATAAAAATCAGATGTTGGAAGAAATGTGGTTTCATTGATATGATTATGAGCAATGATAATTTATGCTCAAAACGTTATCAAGTAGAGAATACTGTGTAACTGTGTTATAAATCGAATAAACCAGTTTAGTATGGAATTACATCCTACCACAGTGCTCACATTTTAGACCTGTATTTCGAGATTTGGTTACCGTTATATAGATGTTTACTGTTTTGTGCTCTTACCAATTTACCCATCGATATTGAGATAAGTGACACAACAATGCTATATAATGTGCTTAGTGCTAAGACATAATCAGTATGAAATTTTATGACACTTCAGTTTCATGGATGGCAGTATCCATCGAACAGCAACAACCAAGTTTCAGTCAGAGATCCCAAGACGCGTTACTAATTGATGAAATCGGATACGTAACTATCAAGCTGTGCAGACCACAAGTAATCGCCTACAAAACTGGGTGGCGTATATCAACGGATCACTGAATGTCAATCGATGTATTCACTACATCATAAGGTCTTATTGAAGTCTGTTGATGAAGTCATTTTAAGAATGTCTGCTTACCTTTCGATGTTGAATATTTCATTCTCATCATTACTTGACTTGTATCTTTCATAACTCGATACTTCATTATCTGTATTCGATTCATCTGTTGCTGAACTGTAGAAACTGCCAAGTTTATTTCCATGAGATAGAAATGAACTAGGCTTCCTCAACGACATGTATTGAATAGTATGTTTATCAATTAGCTCAAACTGAACTCCATTTGGATACCGTGATTGCAATTCTGATGGGAAATAACCATCTAAAATATCCTAGAACAAAATAAGGTGTTATACCATTTTTAAAATCAGATATTCATAAATAAATGAGCAGATAATTTGAAACGAGGATAAAAATGATGAGAATATTCTGACATTTGACTACTTTTTTTGAATCCCTACACCACCTGGATTTTCGTTTCAACTGCAAATTACTTTCCCAAGGGTTCCAGTCTTCGGTATATTTTTTTCAACGAAAGTTTGACTTTAGTGCATTGTTTGGATACATTTCACAAAGGTGTAGCAGGTTAAAGAGATAAACGTAATGCAAACGCAAAAAGCTGAATATGTATGAAACTTTTGCAGAAAACAAATGCAAATCATCCACTGCATGCAGATAATAGCAGTAAATATGAAGTACATTTGTTTTATTGAGCTAATGATGCTATATGACTGGTAAACGTTTAGATGGAGCAGTATTTGAAATCATGACACACAGATTAGAAGTTAAATACTGAGACTAAGTAACTAACTACAGCTTCTTAAAAGTGACAATAAAACGCTTATCCGAATATAACTCAGTAGGTGTTTTGCTCTTTGGCATCTGTTAACTTTCTTCACTTATACTAACCCATAAAGGTTTCTTTCCATGTCATTGTAATATCTTTACTCGCGTGACTCAAAAACATCATAATCAATCAGAAACGCCACTCAAATTCTGTAAAAGCTATAACATCCAGTTTCACTATTTTATACTAACTAGGCCTTTGATGGAAATTTAAATTGATTTTTTTGAAGGTTTACATTCCCAGTGACCTTCCTAAATCATGATATGAAAGCATTTTATCATTCTTCTTTGATTTGTTTCACTTTTTCAATGAATTGATCTCAAAATCATTTAGTATACATTGCAGTTAATTCATAGATCAAAATATGGAACAGCAAAAATAATTCTCATTATGACAATTACCTTTATTGAATCTGTACAACAGCATTTATAATTGTGAGAAACAATTAACAGTTTATTAATGATCATTCGGGTAACACGATTACTATGATTTTCAAGAGCAGAAAAAAAAGGTTGCCTCTAAAGAAAGACCACGGTAAAGCTAGTGAGGAGTGCATGTGATGTTTTGAAGAAAAAGATTAGCTTTAAGGTTGTGAACTACCAGTGATTCGGCTATGTATAGATGAAGTAGTCGAAGTTCTTTGGAAATGTAAGGGGACAGTCTACAAATGACACTGAGAGAGCTCACGATGAAGTACCAGGTGACCAGAGATGGCGAGATCTCTAAGAATAGGAATTTTGATATTTCTTTCCCATCTATATTCCAAAACAAGTTTACGTACTTTACTCTGTGTACGACCAATTTATTTTACTCTACAGGAAAAAGTTAACTGATAGACGCACACTCAGGCGACCAAAAGCAGTATTCTATGCTTAACGCATTGATGAATAAAATTGTTTGTTGGAGAATGAAATTCTGGGGCCGGCTGGGCTAAATGTCTTTCTGAAAGAATTCCAGCTGCAAGTGGCCTTTGAATTCTAGGTACATATGGAGAGTTTTCTCTTGGATGGTTGAAAAGTTTTGCATTGATGGTTTTTCTTTCATTTTAGAGTCATTAAACCTAGGCGGATAACTATTTCGTAGTAGGAAACTACGCACGAATTTTAGCTCACTACCTAGTATGTTTTCAAAACAGGTTTTCTAAATACAATGTTTTATTTGTTAGCGAGAGAAGCACAGCTATAGAAGTTGATAAATTATCCAGTCCATGCTAGTTTTCTGTATATGGATCTCAGAAAAGAATGATCCGATCTACTTGTTAATGGCAAATCCAGATTACCAATGTTTTTGTGTCTCTGAGAATGATTATATTTATTATTGTACTCAATTTTCCACATCGCATGTAATTATAACATCAGTACATTAGTGGATAATATCACAGTCTAAATGAAGTCAATAACTAAACTGCACATCTCACAAATCTCAAGTTACATTCTTACATCAGTCACCTAGTGGTTATCACTTCCAGTCAAGCTTATTATTGACAACCTCATATGTGTACATCTTTCACTGAAGTATTTATGATTTACATATGCTGTGCGAAACTGTTCCACTGTTTAAGGAGGTAATGAATCATTTTCACACAAAAATTACACTAATTAGAGTGGTATTCACAGCAGTAAAATGGTGTACAATAATCTTTTGCTCGTTAACGAAAGTTCGTATGACACATATTTGTTGTTTTTGTCCATTTGTCAATACCCTGTTACTTACAGTAATATTTTCATGATATTAAAGTTGTAATGCTTCAGATAAATCTTACCAAACTGTATAGACTTCTTTTAGAATACCCGTGTACATCATTGTCTAAATTAAGTTCAAACTGGAAAATAATAAGGGGCGGTCAAGCTAAAATGCATTATGTCTATGAAGTCTCTGACTATTCGCCTGAGCCCTATGATGAAGTGTAGATTTGCCTCTTGCGACAACGAAAATCGATGATTAAAGACACTAGGTGATATTGTTTATAATTAATCTCATTTGTAAGACCGAAGCTCAAAGCTGCTTCACTTATTATTATTCATTTTCTACGGTTTCCTACTACTTTTGACTACTTTCTCATTCATTTCTCCATCTTTCATCTGTTTACTTACCACCTTGATGCACTAGTATAAAGTGTGGCAACTTAGGACGTTACACAATAATGCCAGTTTCCAGGTCCATGCTGACTAACTGACCTACAATATCTGTAAAAGAAACTTATGGCTTAATAATTTGCAGACAAATGAAATTATATTGTAATAAGGTATGAATAAAAACGTACACTTGTATCCACTGTTAATAGTTTGTCTCTGAATACTCACCATGATATTAGTCTTGACTGACCAATAGTTATCCAGAAGCTAAACCACTGCTGTTTTATCGTCACCATAATTTTGTGTATAAATGACTGAAATGGTCAAAATCATATATTTCATTGAATGAGTGTACGCTGTCATTTTGCCAGAGGTTTGATCTTAACATTCCTCCAATCATTTTCTCAGCGTTACCACTAAGCTAGGAGACTCACCATCCTGGTGCACTGGGATACTAGTTAGTTGGATAGAAGCAATCGGTAGAAAACCGTAGATCCAAGTTCAGCGCTTTTGGACACTCACCAGCAAAATGTATCTAGAGCCACGATGCAACTTATGTCTCACCTGAGACCGATGGAATTCGATCAGCACCTAGGACTAAACAACATTAAGTCGGTTACCCTCCAGTGGTCAAGCAGTGTACCTAATTCAGTCTTACAGGAGGCTGACATTGAACCAGATAGCTCAGTGATGTCTGGAACACTGAGTGACGCGGGTGTGAACCTCAAGTGGGACATCAGTTCCGTTGAGATTAAAGATACACCTTGCTTCCTGCTGATTCCCTCCATCCAGCTGACATCTAGTTTGAAAATATGCATTCAGTTGAGTTTGATGATAGTCATAACCAAATTACAGTCAACCAATAGCATCAGACGGTGAGCTCAATTATCAAGTTTGGCCAGCTAGTGCAAGTACAGTTCCTTAGAAGGCAGCTGAAGATGGTTATTATCTAATACTTGTGAAACAATTTACGAGAAATAAGATTCATTTGGATGTTAGATTCCGTTTCTGCTCTTTATCTGTGTATACCATTCATCATTTCCATTTTTCGGTTTCAGATAAAGTAGATCTCCAAGATACCTGAGGATGAAGTCAAAAATCCATAGCAGCATATCGCAAACTGATCAAAGTTCCAAACTTGACATTTCTGATATCACATACTCTTGGGTTTGTGACTTCCCACGACTGAGGAATCTCAGAATAGTGCAAAAGATCTGTCTAGTACCCTCCTGTTTTCGTTGGTTGTCTGGTTGGTGACAATTCAAAATAAAAGCCGTCTTGAAAAATATGAATCATAAAATTCTTCCAAAATAGTCTATTGTGCACAATACCTGAACAAATTTTACTCCCATTTCATTACCAACCAGTCAAGTACGCTTACTGGTAAAGTGCATGGTTTTAAAAGTGCCTTCATCACAAACTGGTCTTTGAAAAGCAACCAAATGAATAAGCTTTTTTAAAGAATTAGTTGAAAGTCAACCTACTTGAACAAACTGTAGTGTTTCATGATTTTTGTAAGAACGAAATGGTCCAGAATGAAGGCATAATCCATCTGCATATAAAATTATCGGTACTGGTGATTCATTTCTAAAACAAACTATATTCGATGAATTTGATTGTGGTATAATCTTTCTTTCGTTTCCTTGTGCAATCCAATTATTTAACGATTGAATTTGTTGAATTAGACTATTGAAAATAGCTTCATCGAATTCTTTTAAAACCATGAAGGAAAGAGAAGTGCAATTGAATAAAAAGGTGATAGAATTATTTTTTGCCTACTTATCTCATGTTTTCTGTCCGTATTAGTTATGTTTCCATCATCATTCGACTCTGTTCCGACCCACATTAGACCATGATCATGAAGAAATTCTTCCATTTCAAAAATCTGTATATAAAAACAAATAAATTGTCTTTTTTCTCACTTTCTTATTCTGCCTACCTTTTTTTGTAATTTTTCACAGCATTTTTCTAAAATATCAGTTTTTCTTGTTGTTCCCGTTGTCTGAATATTCCTTTCCAATTCATTACTGCATAATATTTTTAGTTTATTTTCCAGTAACTGGATTTGTATAGCTTGTTTTCTTATCTGTGATTTCTAAGGAAAACAGATAGATAACGTAACTAGAATGATAGACAATTAAGTATTTTGAAGATAGTATGTAGATCACGGAAGATAAAAATTGTAAATATGTACCTACAATACAAGCCTTACCGATAGATTAGTTTCAAAAAGTATAAATTGACAGATATACTGATAATATTATCATCTTGCTATCTGAGATAGCCATAGTTTGAGGGGTTAGTATTTATACCGGGTCATGATTGGGAGTGAAATGAATATTTAGACCATGGCCGGGTTCGAACAGACTACCACTGGGTTTCCGGTCCGATGCTGTACGTCGTAGTCCATTTTTATTCAAGTTGATGATGTCATTAACAAAGGAATTTGATGCGCATCTGATTCTTTTCATATGTTACCCAACTGTTTGATTAAAGCATTATTTTATGGAAGAGATGGAACAATATTCTCCAGTTATTCTTCAGTAAAACCAATTATCTCTGTCCAACACTTACTTTTTACGTTAAGGAATTCAATTTTGTGGAAAACTGAAGTACCAATGGATATTCTTGCCCAAAAAGGATCAGGTGGAAGCATGCGGAAATAAAGGCTGAATTACTGTCTTTAAATTAAAGTGACTAACTTAAAGGGAAGGTCAACAGTCCGATGCAAACAATCCCAGGAATTAGTTAACTGGGCGAAATTAATCTAGCAGCTTAAATACATTAGGTGTTGAATGTACTATTAAATCACATAAAAGTTTGGCTGCTATCCACTCATCACAGGTAAACTCTCTGTGATGTCAGTGAAACTGGTTCAGAATGTTTTAGTCTTGTTAACCTTTTATCATCGTCAAAAATTTGAATATTTCAGTGAATGGCGTGTATGTTTGATCTTTTTTCAAACACAGGCTACTTCCCATTCATTTGAACACTTTTCTTATCCTTCTGATCTCCTAATTCTGTTGTTTCCAAGCATGACAGCTTGAATTGTTCCATGAGCTTGCAAAGTTCGAAGCCCGGTCTGTCAGTAAATCCCTGCCACTTAAAGCTTATGATACTCAACAGTTATTCACAATGGCTCAATGTATATGAAGACAATTTTATCAAAGCACCATCTGTTTAAACTACACACGTGACCGATAGTTTTGAAAATATCTGAAACAATACTGCAGAGTGATATAAAGTAATAAAACTTTTCTTGAACTATATTCATTGTAGGCTGAAATTATCCTGTTTAAAAGGTTCGTTTACACAGAAGTATTTCATGTACCAAGCACTCAAAAAACAAGAATATAATCATTAAGTTATCTATCTCACAACCCCACAGGGTTTTTCTAGTTAAAATACTACCAGTTGTGCATAAGATGTTTGACATTTTCTTGGCTTCACATTTCGTCACAAAGATGTTGTTGAAGGCTCTTGCACAACCTTAACTACCTTCGGGCATTTCGCAGATATTTACGTCTATTAACCCACTTACCTACTCATTTGCAACTGTCTCGTTAAGATTTTGAGTTGGTACGGATTATTCAGTCTATTATTTCGACTATGTTGTTGGTAACTCTTCTTGCTTGCACCAACCAGCTTCTAGAGTGCAGAAAAACCAAAATTGAAAACCTTGAACAAAATGGAATGTTACACCTGCAAACGACCACTAGTCGCTAGTACTGCTGCTTCTCACTTTCACCTTATACCAATCAACCATTACGAATAAGCTGATCACAAACAAGAAAGTAATTCCGACTTTCAATTTGTTTTATGTTACTGTCCAATGTTTTTATATTGTTGTGTGTATTTGACACCAAATAAATAGAAGTAAAGCGAAAACAATCACCATAAGACATGGTTTGTTTCTACGGAAATCCGGACGGAAATAAACAGCAAGTTGATAAGCTATCGGTCAACACTGAAATGGACATATATCCACAACTGAATTCATGCCAATCACCATCTGATTGAATTGTTAATGTTCATCCTTTTTCAGCAACAATTAAAGTTTTCCATGTCGTCACACTCTTAAATGATGTTCAGTATCGGTGCTACAGCCAAACAGTGGCGTTATTTAACAACTAAATCCATGTGTCTTACGGAAGAATATTTTGCAGTCTGGAATGAAATTATTTTTTAACTGAAGTTTTGCGCAAAATCTTAAAACGTTCAATCGAACCATGTCTGTAAGAGCTATAACTTATAATACGAACATTTAAATTAAAACTCCGATAGTCAAATCAAAAATGGTAGACGTTTGGTTCACTAAACTTTGGCCAATATATATATATATATATATATATATATATATATATATATATATATATATATATATACAATGACTCAGTTATGTCGATTTCAACTACTTTGAGGCAAGGATATATAAATCAAAGTGGAGAGTCTCCTTAGAGTACACTGATTCAGTCTGGTACATTTTGTAACAGCACATAAAAACAAAATCAGCAAATACGAAGTAATAGTAATATATAGAAAGGATGCAGCAAAAACAAAAATAAATAAATGCATGATAATCATATTTCCGAAGATTTCCCGAGTGATAAGAAGCAAACATAGTTGTAAAAATATGATCAATAGTAAATCATGTCCACTGTATTGTAGTATAACTAGAACACAAACTTAATCAAACAAACAATATAAACATAGAACCTGACATTGTTGCATAACAGTGCAAGTTTCCATACCTCATATCAGCACATGGAGAATAATGCCCTAAGATGAAAGGATTAGAAGTAAAAAGAGTTATCAAAAGTGGTAGCGAGCTGTGAAAAGAATGCGGAGCTGAATGGAAAGTCAACTAAATTCAGTATGATAATTAAGATGATCATTATGTACGCATACATCTGCACCAATGAAGTGGATACTCAACTACATTACTAAGAGTCTTCAATCAACGGTTTCGGCCATCATCTAGACCCAGATAAAGAATTCTTTATTTCCCTACGCCTCTCAAACCAACAATAAGAGACTTTACAGACTAGTGACACATGTTAGTCAGGGCATCTCTAATCATTTGCCAGTCTAACTCGACTTTCCAGAAAACCGAATTGGCCAGTTCACTTAGCCACTTCACTCCCTATTGTCAAACAGGGCACCAATGAAGGTCAAAAATGGGCTACCAATTAGTGTTTGGTTGGCTAAAAATCCAAACTGAAACATTCTCAAGTTGTCAGTTATGGTCTTAAGTTGACTCTGCATTTTGTCATTTTCCTCACCTAATAGGACTGTCAGTTTTCTACTCTGGATTTAATTAGGATCCGCCGGAGATATGATCAAGCCATCTGAATTCAAATAACTAGACAATAACAATGTACGTGCTAAGAGATGAGCCATACAAAATAATAAAGCAGCACAATGAAGATGAAAGAACAGGAAGAGAGGATTGAAACATAAACAAAATGGTTTATTAAAAACAAGTCTCTGAGATACATTCAAAGGGACACATATTGCTTTAGTGCTAACTGCTCGGTTAGGTAAACCTTTCCATCCTTTGACATTCGCGTATAAAATATTAGTCGTGAGTAATGAAAGGCAATGCCGTGAATTTAAAGACTGGTGGAACTATGCCTTGTTGGAATATTTGTTGCTCAGTTATCAAATGTTTCTCGACCTAACTCATGAAATGCTTTCCAAAACACTCAAAGACCTAACTGTAAAAATCTCATCTCAGCTGCATTCATTCCCACTGAGAATCTCGTATCACAAAGTTTTGAGAGACCTGGTAAAAGATTGCGATGTGATGTTTTTTATACCTTGCTAAATTAGTTCTTGTGATTTCATTTATGCCGTTGACTAATTACAGAGAACATCATATGCACGTTCACTGCAGTTTAAGTTCACTGAAGTCAATCTGACCATAAATTTAATACATTTATTTACACTGACTTTAACCATAATAAACTTGATGGCCTCACAACTAACGACATGAGAGCCACTGAGTGGAAGTCTATGAGTTCTTAATATCTTTAACAAGTCTTCATATTAGTTTTATACCTTTGACTATATGCATTAATTAAGCTTATATTCCCATCTGCCGGTGTTAGTTATTTTGTGCGTAACCCATACTCTCACTTATCTAAAGCTGGAAGACTTATTTGTTTATAGCATCTCTTCGAAATTTGCAATTGATGGAATATAAAGCGAATATTTATTATCTTTATGGTTATTATTGCATGGCTTAAGCGAATAACTACGTGAGTTAACTCACAATGTACCTCAACATTTGACTGGGTGGCTGACAAAACTGACAAAAAATCTCGCACACAAGTACATTGGATGTCAAGTCGTGACACTTTGTAGTAGAATACAAACAACAGGTGACTACAAAAAAGTGATATCAAAGTAGAAAACGTTGTGTGAATGAATAAACAATGTGGAAATATACGTTAGTGCGAATATTTAAGTTTAAGATGTCAGGGAATGAATACACCTGCACTATTGTGGCTCATTTCCGTCGATGTCACCGTTAGTCCCTAACCACTTATTCCTATTGTCTCGGGGACCCCAATCAGATAGTCTATATCTACCCACTCAACTCAGATAAAAAGTAAGATATTTTTGTAATTTGCAGCCATTTATCAAAATTACCCAACTATTATATAAAAATAAAAGGTAGAGATGCGAAATATTTTACAATAAAAAACATCTGCTGAATAATTGCTCAGTGAAGTTATTCTGTCGGCCTACTTTTGTTAAAGTATTTGCACATACGCACATTTTTCTAACTCTGTTCACTGTCAGTCTACCAAATGCACAGCTGCCCAAAGTGTATATTAAGAGCAAATAGCTAACTCCGAAATTAGTAATAGATTATCGGGAAGTACTTTGTAAAACAAGTACGTACTTGTTTCACACTTTTTATCTATTGTAACTATATTCTTATAAGGATGACGGAAGAAATAATAATGAGCTGATAAAAGACATAATGAATATAAAATGATAATTTTAGAAGAACTAACAAAACGATAAACTTGCGTTAGGTAAAATAACAGCAAAATATGAGAGGAAATAGTTCATCAAATACGTGTTTATATTTGAAGGTATCTTACACAATCTCGATTTTCTCTCAACAAAGTTTCATTTTTCCTCACAAGTGAAGAAATGATTTCAGCGTCTTTAATTTTTACTTCACAACTGGGGCTCATAGGACTTCCTTTTTCAGAGTAGTCCTGGTTTTTGCACACATGTTTTAACCCATCAACATATCTTCTGACGGACATTTCTGACGTGACACCATCAAGGAGGCTATCAATGGAGTGTGAAACATTGTCGGACTTAGATGTTACTGACAAGTTTGGACATATTAAGGAGATATCTTTTCCACTATGTTTGGCATATCGAAATTTTGGATCACCCTCGTGACCCCGATGCGTCATTGTTATGGCAATACATTCAATACTCAATACTTTTTTATGAGCGTGTATAAGTCCATCGACTTGATTGCTTAGAAGAATGGCCGATACCTATCAACGCAGGTGTGTGAGCGTGCATATGGGACATGCAGAAGGCAGTCACCATGATCCTGGTTTGATTCCTCGACACTTGGAGGACATTGCAGTAGGGTATAGCTGCAAATTGTTCAAATTATTATTGACATGATAGAAGAAGCTTTAACCTAACCGGCTCCTGCGTCTACAATCCACGGACCATAACTTCTTGCGGTTGTTAGCCTGTGTACAAGTAAAGAAAGAGGAAAAAGTGGCTGTTAAAATGTGAAAATTAATTTAGTTCAAGGCAGATACCAGCAACATGTCAACTAGGTATCCAGTCGGGATTTGAAGGATTCAGACGAAGTAGCCTGGATCACATCTTCAGGAACGGGTTCCAGGGTTTAACAGCTTTTAGGGAATAGAAGTTGTGCCTGACATCTAACCTGCTATTTTCCAGTCTTAGTTTCTGTCTGTGTCCTCAAAGTGACGGAGTAGGTGGCCAGACGTGCTCAGAATGTCGTGGTTATTTTCAAGTCTCCCTTAAGCCTTCTGTATTCCAGAAGATACAGATCTACCACAACCAGTCATTCGTCGTGTGTTTTTGACCTAAGTCCTTGAATAGATTTTGTCGAGCACCTCTATATGCTTTCTAAACTTAGTTTCTCCTCCTAGAGAGCAGGGAGAAGACGATGGTCCCGAATTCCAGGTGAGGCCGTGTGAAACTGTTGAAAATTCGGTGGAAGCATCTACAGTCGAACTGTCCGAAAATTCATCTAAGAGTTACAAACGCCAACTTTCCACGAAATGCGTGTGTCACAGTTGGCATTGGATTTTAAGTCTTGAGGGAGACCAGTTCCGTAAAGTGCCGATTTCGCACCCAATAGCCAACTGCCGGAACATACTTCTAGAAGAAGTAGTGTCTATATCTTTCAATGTCTCGTTCAACAGAGAATTGTGCAAACGCTGAGGTCTACTAGGAAGGTTTCTGTGTGGGTTCATAACTCTCTACCCTCAAACTACAAGTATGAACCAGTAATGGTTTCGTGCGGCACGGGAACTTTAGTGGTTTCCACGGTGAAAACGGTTCTCTTGCATTGACTCTGTGCCATTTTCCCCTCAGTGTACCATGGATTCCGAACCCTTTTGGCCTCACCAGGATTCTTAATAAGAAAGTTTAATGAGGGCCTAAATGGAATTCAGAAGATACAGACGCACTTTCTTTTTCGGGTGTTTTCCTTTCTTCTCCTGCTACGAAAAGGTTCTCATGCAAGAGCGACCAGTCATGGAACCACTTCGTTACCAGATGAAAATCTATTCTGTGTGACATACCCTAGAGCTGTGCTTCGGATAATCTTTATGCGTTAGCTCAATGGCTTCGCTGGCCAGTCTAACTGGATTATACTACGCCATCAAATTACAAAGCTTGGTTCTGCAGCTCAACTAATGATAGCAGCATAATAGTATTTCGGGGATTTTGACTGGTTCAGTGATAATAAAAATAACGCAGACAAGAATAAGGATATCCGTCAGTGCCGGTAGTATATGAGGGTATCACTTGTCCAGACAGCTAGATATTTTCAGGATTGAGGTTCTGTAATAGCTGCAGCATGCTCCCCCTTTTCCTAGAAACTAATCCAATCCTTACTTTCGCCTATTCATTGCAACTAATAGGTATCCACTATTCTTCCGAAAGTACTTGACATAAGCAATATAATGAGACTTTGGCTTTCGAAACATTGTCTCCAGCCACTTCCGCTGTACCATCATCAAGATATAATGTTAATATTGTGCTGCATCTGGGAGTCCTCGCAGTGCATGGGAGGAGTAAGTCTCGGTAGCAGAGAGAATCCTCAGAAAGCTTCTTGCCAAACAGTTTCCAAGACAAATGCCTTTTGATGGATGCTCTAGAATAGTACCCTGAACGACAATATTCTGACATCGGCTGCTGTCAGCCAACTGAGTTGGATGGGTGTTAAAGCGCTCTATCGTGCTATAGGATGTTTTTTAATCTGTGCAGCTCACCCCTGATGACTACACCATGAGCAGGCTGTATGCTTAGTTGTTGTTGATCTCGGATGGGGAACATCTCACAAACTTAACCTGAGAGATTGCCTCGGATGGTCAGTGTTCGACGGGGAAAGGAAGATAATAAAGTTGCCTGTTTCGAGAGGCGTTTAGATGCAACTGGTCCTGCATTAAAGAGCTTTCGGTAGCAGCAATAAATGTGACCCTGGGGACATTATGTGGTGACTTGCTGCATAGTGCAGTCATGGATTAACTTGCTATCTAAATTGTTCAGGGACTGTCAAGTGACTAATTCATACCCAGCCTAAGTGTCGTGCACCAGAGTTCCTCACCATGAGACGAAGGTCCCAGCCCAAAGTCGATGAGCCGGTAGCCCAGGCTGCAACAAATCACTTGGATGACGAACTTCAACTAATGCTTACCGATTTCGCATGCGATCATCTCACAGTACCAGCTATCAAATACCGTTAAACACAACAAACGCATCTGGACGCCATTATTAATACAAAGTAAGAACTAACAGCTCTCATTGTCTTGAACGTCATTTCTGCGGGAATATCTGAGTCATAATGATTTAGAAGTAGCATCAAGGTTGGGAAAAAATCTCAATCCAACAGCCACCTCAAGCGCAAGGTTCAATTTCAGTGCTGCAGACATTGGCATTGATCATCACTAGGCCAGTTATGCTGAGTGGCATATTCCCACAGATAGTGGTAGTTTTTGCTTACTGAATGCAGCGACCCGAAAACACAAAGACCTAATTCTGTTCCCCACCTGTGTGGTCCGCATTCTAGTTCCACTAGTGCCTTTCAGTTAAGTCTATCTTCTGGTGGCCGGCCACAAAGCCCGCACTATTTATATGCACTAGTCATTAACTGGCCTAGTCCGTCTACTCATCTCAATATCGATTATAAGAGCCCACGGCGGGCTGCCGGTTATCGCCCCATGTTCTTATCTGCTCCTGCCAGCCTTTGGCAATCACTGTGGCACACTCCGTCGAAAAACACCGCATACAATGGTTCCAAATAATTCAAGGTTTTGCAAATGTCCCTCCTTCTGCTAGACTACAGATCAAAGAATCACTGTCTGTTCACTGCTTACCACTCAGTGAACCACTCACGCCAAATAAACACCGCAGTCCTACCTTTTTCGTTGACACCCCTCATAACTTGAGCTCCTGATTGAACGGCAATAGTAATTTATTGCGAATAATAAATTTTGCGAACGGGCGACATCTAAACACTCCACTACAGTTGTTTTTTGAAGCACTAACGGTCAGCAGACTCTAAACTACAGGTGGACAGGAACCGTGGTTGACATTAAAATCAGCTAGAGCCACACTGATACTTAAGCGTTTGTTTGTAAGCCCCGACGTCATTGTTTAAGGGACCTGAACTCAAGTTTCTCGGATTTTTTTTGGTCCATCTTTCCTGTCACTGGAGTTTCATATTTTCATGGTGAACGTCATGTTACGTCCGTTAGTCTTGATTGTGGCAACCGGTCTCCGTTCCCTGGCGGAGTCACATAAACATATTTTTTGAAACGCTATCAGTATCTTTTCATATTCTCTGCAGTATGTAACAGCGAACACTTGAAGTGAGCTTGCGAATAGGTGTTTACACATAGCGAATCATTCTATTTCCCTATCGCGTTACTTCGTAACCTGACCTGGGATAATAATTAATCACCGTCATGTATTTTGTCCTCCAGTGCTTGGTAAGTTTCACGTAGACCTCTTCAGGAGCCTGTTAAAGTCTTTTGTTACTTTAGTTATTTTCAACGCTTGTGTGTTTCAACCTTCTTGCTTGGCGTGCGTGTGTAGAAAAAAACATACCACATATTATTGCACATGAAGTTTGCGCATAATATGAAGAGTGAACTGACAGTTGACAGCCTAAACAAAAGAGGCTCTATAAAAGTAGATAAGAAGTTGCTTTTCACGTGCAAACAGGCCGAAATGTGCATGGTAGGGATCAGCAGCCGTTGGCGCACTGCTGACATCGCTGGTGTAAATGCGAAGATACACAGAATAGAAGCCGGCTTGGTTACAGAGAACGTACACGGAAACTGCTGCCACTCGATGGTAGTAAAGAACAAGAAAAGCAGCAGGATAATTTGGCTCAGGAAGGAGGTCACAACATAAATACGTATATTTACAATAACGCGGACAGTGATGGACCTACTACAAAAATAATTAGAAAATAATGCCAACGCTCATGTTCTTACGGTAATAATGGTAATGTTCGTCACTCACAGAAGCAACTGTCCAAATAAAACTATTACTTACATTTTTCGGTGTGGTGTGAGCGAGTGTGAAAGTAACCGGGTTTCTCAACAACCTTGCCTAGTTAATTAGTTCACTAGTCACCAGCCGATCCTGAGCCCGGATAGAGAAGGAGGGTTGAGGATAGGGCTACCAACCCTACCCCGTAAAACCAATCCAATCGCTAATGAAACTTCAGGACATAAAAAATATCAACAATAAAAATAAGCTTATTCCTTGCTGGAATAGGAGAGACGAAATGATGCCGGTTGGTGGAAGCCTTCCGAAAGCGGATTCGTCGATATGTCTTCTCTCAATGAAAGCGAAAGTAAACATAGGGACATGGAATGTCTGGACAAGGTTTGAGCCTAACAAGGCTGTCCTGACTGCAAATGAAATGAGGTGTAGCATAGAAGTGCTAGGAATCTACGAAAGGAGATGCAATAGAAGTTGACTCTAACCAACTGTCAAGTGGAGAGCCAATAATCTACTCTGATATTGTCACCCAGATGACAGCCACGTGCACACTGAGTTTCGGAGTGGTTATCATGATGTCCCCAACAGCATTGAAAGGTGTCATGCAGTGGGAACCAATCTCCTCCAGGATCATAACAGCAAGGTTTAACTCAAAAGGAAGGGAAGTCACAATCATACAATG